TGGACTGTTGTTGTAACTCAATGAGACTTTTATTGTGTTCCTAATTTTAGAAGATCATATTGTACTCTAATTGCAATTGTTTTTTGAAAAAAGAGCTAAAATTCTTGAGCTGAACCACTTGTGGACCAATCTGTTTCTCCTTTGAGTCTTAAAGGCTTCTTATTTTGGATATAGGAAATGGTAAAGCAGTTCTCTTTTCCTTCAGAGAAGAAGTTAAGCTACATAGCTGTGCAGTTATCCAATAGATAGGCTTGATGCCAAAATGGTACCTAATGAGTTATAAAAAAGTTAGTCATGCCAGTAATTGCATCATTAGAGATGATTTTAAAGGAGTTGTACCTCTTGAGTAACTAATACATGTTTTGTAGTGCTTTGTTTATTTTCAGATACACTAAAGGTAAATATTTATTGGTACCGAAACTGTAAAGTATTTATACCAGCTTGAAACTTCCAGATAAAACACACTGATCAAAGAAAAAGCTTTTTAAGTTGTTTCCTGCTGCACTAGAGATAATGTGTATATTCCAAACCCCCTCCTGTCCCTGATGTACAGAGAAGGAAAGTAAAACCAGGGAAAAATAACAAAAATGCAGACAGATCACATTACAGTATTCAAACAGTATTAATCCTTATTAACTTGATCCTTTCACCATTTTATAAAATATACAGTTAGATTGTAAATCTCTTGGGCAAAAAGCATTTTTTTTCTTCTGTTTTTGTACACTTCCTAGCAGATTTGGATGCTGCTTAATTACCAAGGCTGGTATATCTGACAATAGTGAGTAATTATTAAGGTAAGGAATTATTTGCCATGTGGTTCTTTGTGGAAATCACTAGTAAGAAAATCCTGAAGACTCGGTGTAATTACTCTGCAAACCTAACCCATATTTTTACTTTTGTAAACAAGCCTTTAATTTCTCTACAAAGATCTCGCTTCCCGTATTGATCAGGCCAGATTCTGTGTGGTTTTTGATATCTGAAACGTTGATTGTTGAAAAGAATGGAAATTGGTTAAATTAATGGAGCTATTCTCTGCACGTATAAAATAGCAACAGCGGTTTTACATCAGATAAATAGTGGTGATGGAAGGGTACAATGAATTCAGTGACACTATACAAACACTCGCGTTCCTTTTTGAAGTGACAGGAGAACAAACGTGAACCCTGATCTTGGGAGACCTATGCAGAATTGTATGGGCAAATGGAGTTTCCCTACATTTACACAGCTGTAGCAGAATCTGAATCTGGGTATTACAAATTAATTTTAAACCAGTACCCTTATCTCCTACTTACTAATGCTATTGGGGTTTTGTGGGTTTTTTTGTTGTTTTTCTTCCTCATGTGTAGTGTGGATTGCTAAAATACAGATATTTATTTTGGATTTGAGATGTTGTCTTATAGTTGTCCAGTTGCAGCTTCTTTATTCTATAAAAAGTGTGCTTTTTGATGCAATACATGCAAATATACTTTTAATGTTTTGTATGTTGGCTAAATAAAGTTGTGGGAAATGATATCGTTATAATGATGGCTTTGCTTAGACTTGTTGTCCACTCCCATTCCCCTTGGAATTAGCTACAGGCCGGCAAACTGCAGTAGCCTTTATTATATTGAATACACAATGGCTCTGCTAAAAATGTTTAACCCAAAGTGGGCAATGAAGGTGAGAGATTTCAGCTCTCAGCCCACTTGCCTATGGAGGTGTCTTTTGTGCCCTGCACTCCTCTAATATGCCAGAATGGCTCTGTGGCTGAAGCTTTGTAAGTCTTAATTTTGAATTTTTTGTCTTTTATTATTTGGAGGTGCAGATTGTAAACTTACCTTTTGTTCACTTTCCATTTGCTTTCCCAACTAAACCACCTCATAGAAGGCTTATGAAATGCATGTTTTATCTGCTGTCCTGGAACAGCTTTCCTCAGTGAATCTATAGTTGAAGCATTTTTAAAATGTTTGATTTCCCTCAAATTATAAATCTACTTTTGCAATCTAAGCAAACAAAAAGCAGTCTCAGCTAGCATATTGACATAATAACAGCATTTAACATAATTTCAGATGGAGGAGCCTCAAATCCCTGACAGAATATGGGTCAGTTACTTCTCTCCATTGGCTGGGCAGGGAGTCTGACCACAGTTTTGCAGCATGGCTGAGCCATGAATCTGTGGCTGGTGGAGTTATTAGAGCCTTGTAGTGGAGCTTCCTCCAGGGTATGCTCCTTCTCTGCCTTGACAGTGGAAGTAGCCACCCCAGTTCATGCCTTGGGAAAGGACATGTCCCATTTCATGCTTTATTTAGCTACCTTAAGAAGAGATACTGGGAACTCCTTAGGTGGTTGTCACTTGTCACTGTTGTTCAGGGGCAAAGATGAAGCAGGTACAGTCCGCAGGTTTCTGCCTCAATCTTCTTCAGTTTATTTTGGCACTTCCATTGAAACAGGTGTCAGCCATAGTGGGTGATTGCATTTCAGAGTGTTCGCCTGTGAAAGCTGACAACTTTCTCCATGAGGTTTTTCATCATGGATACACGTGTTAGTTAATGTCAGAGCACTAATTATATATGTCCTTTAAACTCTTACTGTATGTCAATCTACAATATATAATAAATTCTAAACTTATTAGATGATCTTTAAGATTCCTTCCAACCCAACCCATTCTGTGATTCTGTAATATTGTAGAATATTTGTATTAAGATTTTTAAATAGGACCTGTTTCTGATGATTGGGTGAGATTGCCTGTAAATGGGTGTCTTTCTCAGGTTGTGGGGGTTGTTCGCTGTCCTAATTTTCTTAAAGTATTGGCAACTAAAATGGCAACTAAACCCCCACATCATGTTTCTTTTGAAAGTCTAGGTTGCAATATTTGATACTGCAGTAACTACATTGACATTGTATTTTTTGTGATGCTTACTTAAGTAATTCTTTCTGTGGTTTATAGTTATGTGGACACTGGTTGAAATCATGTTGTCATGGAAGCTGGTGACATTCTTGACTTCTGTAGATCTAGGATGTCACTGTAAGAGTTTACTCTGATTTGATTTTCATGTAGTCTCTTCACTTTGTGTTTAACAATAGCTCTAACTTTATGGCAGATGTGGATTTTACTCTTCTTGTTAGACTAGAATATGTAACTCACATGTATGTTTAGCATGGGCACCAATAGCTGCTTTTGGGATTACAAGTTTGGAAGACCAAATTCAGCAAGCACTTGCTCACCTGCATACTTAATAAAGTGGTTTATGTCAAGCTTTTATGAAAGCATGTGTATTTTCAGAATTGGGATTGAGTCATTGCAAAGAAGGGGAAACAAGCTCATTTGTCTCTTAGACCAAGCAAGTGTGAAACTTGTGGCTGAAGCACAGGGCTCAAGCTGAGAAGCCGTATGCTTCTTACATTGCCTCTCTCAATCAAATTTCAAAATCCCCTGAAGTTTTAATCTTTATTAGGCTCTGTGAAAGCTGAATCTGAGCATTTTAAATGAGATTATATTTTTCTAATGCCTCAACACAGAATTAAATGGTAACATTTGCAAGTATAGTTAAGGCAATGAAGTCTCTGTAACAGGGGTGATGTTGTAGTGGTTCTCCTTTACGGTTGGGGCTGGGAAGGTAACTTACACTCTAAAACAAGAGCAGAACAGTTTCTTTGCTAAAAGGTTCAAAGGTAAGCTCAGATGTGCTGTGCTGGTTGCGGTTGGGCCCAGTTAGGAGTTTACTGCACACAGACTTTTAACTGCTCTTTGCTGTCTTCCTCACAGAGGTTGCAGTCTCTGGCTGGTATGCTTGTGTATCATTTCTTTCTGCCCCAGTTTATCTCAAGCAATTATTTTTTAAAACCATGCCATCTTAAGTGAATGCCCTCCATTTTAGGGAGCAAGCATGCATGCAGGTGAAGAATGCAGTAACCTCTTAACCTGATTCAGCTGCAGCCAGACTGGCATGCCTGGTCACAGCCTGAAAAAGCCCCCTTTGTTGGTTTTTGGGGTTCATAACTTGGGCCACCCAGATGCATCTAGGGGTTGGGAGCATGAGGCTGAGTGCACATGTGGACTGTGGCTACACTGGTACAGTACCTTGACCTTTGGGCTCAGACCTGATGAGGAGTTGCGTGTCAGCGGGGAAGGAGTTGTGTTTCATCTCAGATGTGACCGGTTACATATGTCTGCACCAAAAGTTTAAGCTAATTAGCATGAGATCAGTATATTGCTGTAACTCAACTGTATAACGAAGCTGTCTCCATGGGGCTTTAACCTGATATACCAAAGGGGCTGTTACCATACCCATGCAGCTTTGACCGACTTATGGATCTGGTCCCGTTCAGTGGAGAAGGGGATGCATGGATGGGGACAGTGACTCGCAAAGGGTTTTGTGGAAAGCTTCCTGTTTGCCTTAATCTACTCTATTACAAATGTGAGGCCAAATGTGTGAGTTCTGTTAGTGTGGTTACCTATCACAGTTTCTCTTGTGATTAGCTACTGCAGATCAGAAAGTGCGTTATATTAGAAGGTGAGTTTGCTTGATTTGTGTGTCTAAGTCATTCTTACACATAAAAGATACCAATTAAAAAGACCTTTATATGGGTCACAGTTAAAATTACATCTGCAGACCAATGTATATTGCTAAAACTTTTTTTCTTCAATCAAAATGGTGACACTGGAGCAAAAGAGCAGAAGAAATATGAAACAGTCCCTTTTTTTGCATTGGTGATTGCATTGTGTTCAGTAACCTCTATAAATGAAAGCACTAATCCCAGCAGATATGTTTCTTCTATGTGGTCTAGGGAACACAAATTAGAACTTCTTATTTTCCTTTTCATCCACCTGGAAGCATTGTACGTGTAGAAATTGTATTAATTTGTTTTGGTAATGTGGAGCTTCTGATGCCAGGTGCAGACTGCTGCTTAACAGCCTGACCTGTTTGGGGTGAATTTTTCTTCCTTTCAGCAGTCTTTTTTTCTGTAGGAAATGTGCAAACATATGGGTGTTACAATTCATGTTCTTTTTTTGTTTGTAGATACCAGTATTACCTGCAAGTGAAAAAGGATGTTCTTGATGGCCGATTAATTTCTTCATTTGAGCAGGGAATTCGACTGGCTGGCTTGGCAGTGCAAGGTAAGATGACGTGACCTGACAGCCTTTTTCCAACAATGGCTCTTTTGGTTTGTTCTGTATGTTGACTGGGCACTAACTAAGGCCTTCTATGACTCCTACTCACAACAGCTGGGTTTTCTATTGATTTAAAAGTACATGGGTGGACTGCTGTTGATGAAACACACCCTAAGGGAGGGAATGATGGACCACATCACAGTGTTCAACTTTCCTATTTGTAAAATTCATGTAAGTGAATCTGAACAAAACTCCAATTCTTCCAACCCTGACCACGGAGTACTTTGAAATAATGAATTTGCTTCACGTTCTCTGATTTTAAATGCAAATTACATCAAAGAGCACAGCAGCAGCTTTAATTTTGCCTTTAATTAAAAACTCATTTTGCTGTATAGTGCTATGTGAAGTATGAAAGAACACATAGCTGTAATTGTTATGTGAGTTATAAATTAATAATAAACTACTTCTTACAACATGATTTTTACTCTGAGCCTACTAAGGACATCAATAAAAGTGGGATCATATAATGTATATGGGCAGAGGAAGAAGTCTTGTATTTGAATAAAGTATGTTTGTCTTTCCACAACTGACTATGAGAACCTAAGGTAGAGTTTCAATAATTGTGGTCTGTGCATGCTCTCTGAGTGTGAAGGGGGAAGTGTATACATCAATAGCAAACATGAAGATCTGATTCTGTAAATTAAAGATTCAGTCAAGAATAAGACTAATATGGTCTTTTTTAGGGCAGTAGAAATACGATTTTAGTATCTTATCTTGGTTAAAAATTTAAGGAAAAAATGTTTATTGTCAAATATTGAAATGTTTGATTAATAAAGGAAAATTTATGTAAAAGATTCCATAATGAATCTTTCAGTTTAGGTAAATGAAGATTTTCCTCTGTGTAAGTTAAGTCTGAATACATACTTAATATGTTTCATTGGTCCTGTGTTTTTGGAGCTTTTTTCTAATTTTGAGAGCAAGTCAATCTTATTATTCCTGACGTTGTATTACTTCATTTGTCCTTTGCATGTAATGCAACCAAAGGTATTTGAAATACTTATTTCTTTTAAACCTACATGCCCATTTTGATTTCTTTCTGTTTATGTTAAAACATAACTCTGAGGTAGAAACAAAATGAAACTGCATTTTTGGCATCCTGTGATACGTGAAATTGTCTAGAAGCTTTGAAAGAAGGTTTAGATAATATGATTTATGTTGGGGATTTCCATCTTCTATAATATGAGAATCTTGTAGATGGCCTTTGATGCAGTTCAATTAATATAAAATAAAAACCTCCTGGCAAGATATTCTTTTGATATAAGCTGTTGTGTATTTAACAGATAGATAAATACAGGCATTGTTTTGAGTTTTTAATGTAGCTTAGCCTTTAGGAAGCATTTTCAAAACTCCATCATTTCAAGGACATTTAGACAAGAATCCTCAGTCTGACATACGAGTGAATGTGAGCATGGAGATGAATACCAGTTCAAGAGATGTAGGAGAAGTAGAAGAGCGAGTAGAAAGGTGTGTGCCAGTCAGTTAAACTGACACAGTGCCTGTACTGATACGTTGGCTGCAGAAGGATAAACCTGTCCCCATGTTGGTTGTTGACAATTTTTAATAAAATTGACTACTGAATTTTAACCTTATAGGCTGTAAAATTAAGCCTCTTTTGTACAACTGTATAGAATTGTGGTAGAGATAAGTTAAATTCTGTTCACTTATTTTTGCCTGTTCAAGGCTGGAAACTTTGGAGAAGAAAAAAGGGTGCACCATTTTTAAAGAGGCTGAGCAATCCCAGCCTTTTTTAATGGGGTTGAGTTCAAGAAGGCTACAGAAAAAGAAACTCTTGCACTCCTGATGGTTAAGCATTGCAAATGGTCATTATATTAGGGATCAAAAGAAAGAAATTACTTGTTGGCTGTTATTTGATCTATGGTAACAACACTATTATTTTCAGACCTCCATGTTAAAAGCTGAAGCACAAGCAGAAATCTTTGTACTGGGTTGTGGCTTCAGAGAGAATTTACCCACTTGAAATTGAGCATCTGTGCAAGGTTGAGTGTGGTCTTAACATGTGTGGAAAGTGCACAAATGAGTAACTGTGTTTGTTTTTTTTTCCAGCGGATTTTGGAGACTATAATCAGTTTGAATCTCATGACTTCCTCCGAGAATATGTGTTGTTTCCTATGGTGAGTTCCTTATCCCTCTATTTTATGGTCTTTTATGAATAATTTCTCCATGCCTCAGAGATGGCTTTGTTGATAACAGAGTAAAAGCACCAGTGCTGAACTAATAGTAGTGGAAATAATTTTTGCTCCCCAAAACCTACAGTATACTTGATTGCAGCTGAATGATCCTGTGCTATGGAAGGTCAGCCCAATTTCAGTTCCTATTGAGCTTCCACTAGGAACAGGTGTCAACAAAAGAAACATACGTTTTCAAATCAAAAAAGAATTTGCAACTATTTAAAAAGGTGTGTATTAGCAGTACCGTGGTATTAGTAATGTGGCATATCGAGGGGAGAGAAGGGCTGCTGGTGTAGTAAATGTTGTGTCACAGGGCGAGTCATGCAGCCTTTCTTCGAGAGAATGTGGATTTACATCAGCTGACTATCAGACTGAAGTGAAGTGTGAATCAGGTCTTCTCAAAATGTTCTCCAGGGACTGTGCTGTAAATTTTGTTTAAACTTACATTGGAAACTAGCGAATAACTTCAGTGCTTAGGGAAGGAGTTTAGATCACTAGTGATGCTGGAAATTCAGTGGCAAACATCAAGCACTTGCAGTCCATGGCATAGAGCCTCTGTGGGAGGATGGATTAGAGAAGAAAAAAAAAAATCCTGCTGAAGTTAAGACTGACTTTATCTTAGATGAACAAGCCCATCAGCATCAGTTTTGAGTGTAAGCTTCATAAAATATAAAAGATCACGGAATTCTTTCTAACTGGAGAAAATATTTGGAAGCAGGGTGGGGTGCCCTGAGTTTAGCTGCCTGGAAGTTAAGGCATCTGGTTTCCCTCTGCAATTAGTGGAGCGTTAGAGGGAGGATGATTCATCTCACTGTAATTTGAAGGCCTGAGAAAGGCACTTCCAGAAGCATTTCATTCCATTTACCAATGCTCTTTGTACAGAAACTGCAGTGGACAGTCCATTCTTAAGTCCAAAAAAGTGACATCTGCACAGTGTCCTGAAGTGAAAGTGCAATTTTGAGCTAGTAGACAGTTTGATACCACCTGAAAAAGTCAGCAGGTAGAAGGGCAATTAATGAATATACAGAGATATGAATATGCCTTGTATAGAATACACATATAGAATGTGGCTTCAGTATTGACCTTTCACTAATAAACTTCTGTTACCCTGACTAGTGGAGCAGGATTTCTCTGGTAAGCCACCTTATCTGATAAGTAGTTGATGATCTTGGGCATAGTTGATGACTTAACCAAGTTGTGTATGAGAGCCTTAATGGGAAAGAAGATGGCTGCAAATATATACACAGAAATGTGTTGTCAGGGTGTCACTTTGTAAATTATTGAACTTCTGCAAAGTTCTTTCAATATAGAATGAATCATAGAATGGTTTGGGTTGGAAGGGACCTTAAAGACCATCTGGTTCCAACTCCCCTTCCATGGGCAGAGACACTTCACACTAGACCAGGTTTCTCAATGCGCTATCCAGCCTGGCCTTGCACACCACCAGGGATATACTGATACTATTTTTCTATTCTGAAAAAAAACAGGGGAGGCTTTAGGTCTCTAGATGAGCTTTCAGGTGGTTAATTTCTCTGTGATTCAGCGTTTTATTCTTTGGGCCCATCTCTTAGAACCTCTGATTTTGAGTCAGGTGCCTCCCTGCTGGTGTGATCAACTCTCTTCTGTTTTGCATGTGCTCACTTTGTGATATCTTGCATTTCATCCATGCTACTGTTACTGAATTTAAGAACATGGGCAAAGTGTCTGCTTCCTACAGCCTTCAGAAGCCTACTCTTAGATCAACTGTTTCTCTAGATATTTCTTTAGCTACTTGTCTTTGCTCTTCTGGGGAGGAGTAGATAATATAATAGTTAATATTTCACTACAAGTTCAGTAGCAGTTGCTAAATGCTGCAGATACAAACTAGTCCCTAAGCAAGTGGGAGGATTTGAGTGAATCCTGGGCATAGAAAAAGAACATAGAACAAGAATGTTGCTATAAATTCATTAGTGAAGTGAGGTTGTGGATGAGGGAGGGGCAGCTACGTTTGTGCTGTTTGATCTTGTGAGGCTACAATGTGTGTCAAATGGCATTTCTTCAGCAGTGAAAAGAACAAAGTTATGTACACAGTACACCCCACAGGTGTGTAGCTGTGCATAGGCATGCACCATGCCATTTTTCATTAGCACGCTACCACTTTCACATTTTTTTGTGGCAGAAGCAAATATCAGAGGGGAGGGCCCCATTGAGCAAGAAGCAGTGTATTTAAGTACATTACAGGCAGCCTTAAGGCTTTTTAAATAAATGTAAAAACTTTGAGGTTTTGCAAGAAAGTTTTCCAGCTTCCTTTTTTTGGCCTTGAATTTATGAGCTGACTTCCTTTATTAACTTACTCCCAATTATTTCAGAATTGTTTCTACCGCACTTTATTAAATTTGCAGAATATAAAAATTTCTGCTCAGAAGTGTCTTGCAAGCATAAAGTATGTTTTATTGCATATTTGAAGAGATAGCAAAACTTTCAATCCCTTTAACATGAGGAAGGGGCAAAAAATACTCAGGAATTCATTATCCGTGGTCTGTGTATCATTTTGGACTGTTTTAAAAGCTGTATATTAATTTGTAGATTTCCAAGTGTTTTTAAAGACTTCTTTGGCCCTTATCCAGGAAAAGATTCTTTATCTGTGCTCTATACTCTGTTCTCTATTTTGGAATAATTAACACCTTATCCCAATTTTTAACAGTATCATTTTACCCTCCCAAAAAAAGTTATAAAAAAAATCAGAGCTCTTGTCTTCTCCTTGCACATTTTCAGCATCCCATGCTCTGAATTTTAAATTTGATTGGTGATAGGTTCTCTTTCTGTAACTACCTAGAAGAGCATGAACTGTAAACAATCTCAAAATAGCTACTGTCATAATTTCTGTGTACCATTTTGTCCCCTTTCTCTTTGGTTGAGTAGTTTTTGATGCAAATTCATATTTTTACAGGATTGGAACCAGGATGAAGCTGTCCTGGAAGAGCTGACTCAAAAGGTTGCTCAGGAGCACCGGACTCACAGGTGAGCTTGATGTTCAGATTTATTTTTTTTTATCATCCCTGTAGTACTTCCCTGCCTCCCCCATGCATTCCTGACAGTGTTTAACTAGCCTATATTCATGTTACTATTATGCTTTGTCTCACTGCATTTTTAATTAACCTACCACAAAAGGGTATCTGCCTCTTGTAAATGCAAAATGGCTGAGAAACTTAATTCCAAATAAACTCACATTTGCACCCTCGGGTTTAATGAGCGTGTGTAACACTGCTTGTGCTATGTTGTAGACTCCTTTCTCTTTTTGATTTCATTTAAATCCTGATAGTGAAAGACCCTGTGACTTGATCAGGGGTGATCCGAAGGTCTCTTTCAAGAGAGATGGGGATGCACATGCTCCCAGTGTAATGGAAATGAAAATAACAGGAATTGGGTTTTAAGTCTCATGGAGAAGACATAGTATAGTGTTACTAGTTAATGCGCTAGGAGTGCATGCATTAGTCCTTCAGTAAAAAAACCTTCTTTGTGAGCAGGCTTCTTTCATGTTGTCCAGGTGTTTCGGTGGTGGATGTATCCAAACCTCTAGAGTGCTGTTCCGGGAAAAATGGCAGTGCCCAAATGCCATATGCAACAGGAATGTTATCTGAAGGATGCAACATTGCCCATTACATGACAAAGTGGGTGTAAAAAGATGAATACCAATCCATGAGTCTTAGGCCACTCTCAGTCGGAGCTTCAATGCAAGCCTTGGCCTTTGATGCAACCAAAGGGCCATGAGCAGGCCTGGTTCTATTCTCTTTCTGCCATGGGCTGCTTGTGTGATCTTGGTTAACTCACAGACTTGAAAGGAAGGTTTTCCCACCCGCTGTGCTCTTTAGTGCTATTTCTGTAACACAAAGAAATACTTCCCCTCACTTCAGCAGGTAGATCATATTCCACCTCCTTTCTCTCAGGTTTTTGTCTGGGCCCTATATTTCTGTTTGTAAGCTGTGGTAAGGAGTAGCAAAGAGGAGAAAAATTAATGGTGGCCTTTTGGAGCAAGGTCTTTAAACCTCCAATCTATTCTGACCTGCTTTTGAGAATTGAAATCTCTCTGAATTCCTGAGCTGTGACAGGAGCATGTGTAGACATGTGTGTAAAACTTTTCAGCTGGTTTGTTCTCTCCTACAAAAGAGAATCTGTTTAACTTTTGGATTTAGTGCCTGTGTTTTTGAACAGCCAACTTGAAAATGTATGTCTTTCCTTTAAGTCATTTTAAGAAACTTCAGTGGCCTTATATACTATTCAGGCAAATTAGGACACCTGTGGCTCAAATCAGCCATCCAAAACTATCCACAACCTGATGCAATGACCTGATAAAGCCTGGAAAAGATTTGATGTGTACAGAAGAAGTTGAGTAATGTGATTAGTTCAGTTTGTTCCTCCTGTAATTTGGACTGTGCTTTGTACCTTATCTTAGTGACATTTAGTAAAATTTCCCCCCTTGCTGATTATGATCCTAGTGCTGAAAGTTAGTCTCGTGTTGTGCATTTCTACACAGCATCTCCAAAGTGTCTTCTCAAGTGGTTTGTGAAACTCCCATTTTTTCACTAGTATTTTTTTGTGTGCGTGATATTGAACTATTTGCTCCCTTTTGTTAATCTAATTGCAGTGGCATTACAGCAGCAGAGGCTGAGTTAATGTACATCAATGAAGTGGAACGTCTGGATGGGTTTGGACAGGAAATTTTCCCTGTGAAGGTATGTTAGTGTACATTATAAAGGAACCTCTGAATCAAATGATGCAGAACTCTGCAGCAACCTTTGTAATGTGTGCAAGTCGTGTTTGTCCAAAAGAGATAGGACTTGTTTCACTGTTCTAGAGGGTGAAATGACTGCTGGTAGTTTGAATGGACATTGCAGCGGTCTGTAGTGTTACTTCTCTTTCATGAAAATCCTTGTCACGGAAGAGGTTGCTATGTGTTTGGGCCTTCTCACTTGGAAAATAGAGATGGTCCTTGCTTTTATTTTGAGTGCTGTCTATGGGAGAGTGGCTGGGGCAAATGAACCTCAGCTCTGGTCTTTAACAGGATAGGAAAATGAGACCTTCTCATATCTTTCTAAGTCACTATTTACCAAGCATTAACTTCACCTTTCCTCAGTGTCTTACATGTGCACGCAGGTCCTCCACACATTTATAATTAAGGGGGAATTTCAAGGATTATTTTGCATTTGCAGTCACTTTCGCTTCACTGGAAGCCCCTTTCTGCCAAGGACAGTCTGACTGCCTGGCCTTATGGAGCACATAGTGCCATGATAAAGTTGTGCTGAGAAACTGAAAACTGCTGTTCCAACATGACCCATTTCTCAACCTAGCCACTGTGTGGTGAACTGTGAGTGGTTTTTCTGCTAGTTAAAGATAACTAGGAATTTAAAAATAAGCACAGCCACACACCAAACAAAACAAGTTTTCTACTGAAGTCAAAATTGATCCTTTGGCACCAATCTAAGAATTGGCCTGAAAGGAAGGAGCTGAAAGGCAAAAAACCTTCAACCCAACAACAAAAAATTTGGAATGTTCATTACCTATGAATGAAATCAATGTTTTCCTCAAATTAATTTGGAATAATGCCACACACTACTGCAAAAGACATTTCTGTGTTGGAAATGTCGTTAGATATTACTGCATGTCAGTAAGGTAAGTATGAACAGTATACTGGGAGCTCTGCAAAATCGTGGGAAGATGTTAGCCTTGTATCAAAGAGCAGCGTGCTGGCCTTGGAGAAAAATAAAACTGCATTCAAAGGGAAAAATGAAAGATTTCTCTCTTTTCCCTGGTAGAAAATGCTATTAGAAATATGTTTCTCTTTTTTTCTATATAGATATTTGTGTACACACACACACATATATATGTACACACATATGTATGTATTTATATATGTATAAATACATACATTTTCCCCAACATCTTCTGAATCTTTTTGCCTTCTAAAGCTGCTTCTGGCAAGAAGGCAGAAGAATGTATTGCCCTCTAATCAGACTAAACTGAAGACTCTCTGCTGTCCTCTGGAAGAAGCTGGCATATTCAGCATGGAGAGTCAGTGCATAGGCTGGGGCTTGAAAATTGGCATCCATTCTTTGTTTGTAGAAGGCCTAACACTTAGTAGTTACAAACAAGTGCAGATACTTTATCATTGCCTTCTGAGGATCAAGTACAGCAAGGCCAGGAGAACAGCTGTAGTCTGATCTATTAAAATGCAGGTTTCTACAGCATGTGCATGCATAGTGCATGAACTTCTCTCATATTCTTTCTTCTAGCAGTTCTTTAACCACACTCTTTGTGTTAGCATGATTTCTATTTACCACTTTAAAGTGTGAATCAATTGCTATAAGTGCAGCTGAGGGGGAGTTTTTGTTGATAAATGTAGAAAACGTAGAAAAACTTCTTTGTCGACAGTAATAAGCTGCTTTAAGAAAACTGATTGCAAAATGGAACAGGAGCACATGGTTCTCAAACAGGAGCCCACAAAGAGACAGGTGGGAAAAGGAGAGAAATAGGACTTCTCAAAGTCCACTGTTCTTGTGTTGTTTTTATGTGGTGTATGCAGTTGAATATTTAACCCAACAATTGAAAGTCGATTGAGGATGTATCTGTATAGATATACAAGTACTTTTTATGTAGTGAACATCTACACAGAGTACTTAAGGGAGGAAGCAGAAAAGGAAGAGCTTTTGAGAGGATTCCATCTCCAGGTGTGGTGTTCTGAAATCTCTACATGTTTTAACAGATGACTGGAGAAATACTATGAATGTGAAAGGACTGTTGCTTTTGGTATTCACAGAGACTCTAGACAGCTATAATCACAATGGTAGGGGATGTTGGGTATTATACAATGAATGCCAGTTTGTGGTCTGCCTAATGTTTGATAGAGGAGAACCTTGAGCTCATTTAGCCTTCTTCTGTTTTCATTAATCAACAGAATGAATCCACTGAAGTGTTAACTGCTTTGAAATAATAAAAATCAGAGTCCAATCAAGCAGCAAAATATATGTTAGTCAAGGGTTAGTCCTGCATTATACTGAAGACGGACTTCTCTTTGGTAGTTCAGCATGCATTCCTATACATATATTGAACAGTCTCTTTATTAAACTAAATATATTGTCCTTTCTCTGCAGGATAATCATGGAAATGACATACACCTTGGTATTTTCTTCATGGGAATCTTCATAAAAAACAGAACTGGCAGGACAACTGTGATTTATAGGTAAAAACTAGGGTCTTCTGTCTTAAAACAGTTTCTTTCCAGAGGGCCATGTGTGGGACTTTTTCCTGACTTACATATGTGACTTCAGTAGTGCCAATCCTCTAACTAAGGAGTAGTCACCTCGCTGTTTTCAGCATTGGTGTCTTAGAGGTCCATTAGAGATGAGATAAAGAACAATTTCTGATGTCTGTGAATGGGTTTGATGGCAAGAAAGTTGTAGTTGCCTGTCATGTATCTTGTTCTGTTTTACAAGGCTTTGATTCCTTTTCTTTTCTTGTCTTTATGTCTACTTCTTTGATGCTTCTGAATGCAAATCTGTTAAACCTCACAGTTGGCAGCCCAGGAGCTGAACGTTTTTGGAAATCTGGTTGCCGTATTTAGGTGCTCCACTGAAAAGAAGTTGAACTTTCTCATTCTGTAATTTTGAAAGTCCTGACTGTGTCACACTTCTTCTGCGGTTTATTTTGGTTACTAAGAATCGCTTAAGTCTTTCCATTAACTTTCTTGTGTGGGTTTGTTCTGTATGAAAATGTTACTAGAAATCTCCATGATGCCAGGGAGGATAGTTTTGTTCTTCTTTACTACTGTTCCAGTGGATATTTTCATTACTGTTGCTATTTGCTTGAAGTGGATTTTTACTAGTCCCTGTTATTAGAGTATGAATTTTGTGCAGCCAAAAAATTTGTGTTTTTTGAGGTGCACTGATTTTCAGTCAGTAGCTAAGGCTTGTATCAGACTTAAGCTGGAATGTTAGGTTTGGGTTTTTTGCCTTAAAAGGGCTTTCAGTAGTCAGCTTAAAAAATGTTAGGGCTCCATTTTCCACATAGCTGATGCTTTGCATATTTAATTTTTAGAAGAAATTAGATAATCCTTTAACTGGGCCAGGTGACAAAAGCAAAAAGTTTCTTTACATGTAAAAATTATAGTTGGTGCTGGGATTCTTACTGTTTGGAAATATGCACTTCAAGCATCCTGCCATGACATGAAGAGGAATGCATGCTGCAAACAGAACAAACAAGTCCTTTCCATCCCCATGGATTGCATGCAATGTACGCAAATGTCTGTCAGCTATTTGTAAGAAGATTATAACTCTGATCTTGGGCAACCTGACAATTACTTGGGAAAAAAAAGAAAAGATTGCAAACATAAAACCAGAGTATTAACATGGTATGCATAGTCTATATAACCATGTTGTCAACTTAACCTTCTTTAGCAAGAATTGGCACTTAATGAAACTTGGAAACAGCATTTGGAGAGGAATGGCACTTAAAAAAATAATTCTATTACACGTGGCTAAAATCAATCAGTTAAAAAATGCCACAGTTCAGTAAAATGTTTATTATTAATGTATTTTCGGTCTGAATATCCTTTCATTTTTAATCAGAACATGACTTCTATGGCTAGCCTCTCTGGGGTACCAGTTCTGGTTGCATTCCTCCCATTGTGGGGTTCCATTTCCGAAGGCTTGAGGTGGATTGGGAAGGGGTTACTGCAGCTCCAGGTGTTTCTTCAGGGTCCTGGATGCATGGAGGGGTTAGGTGCTCCCCCTCCCCCCACCACATGGTCCCATGGCAGCCAGAGAGACAGCACACAGGACTTGGAGAGAAGGCCAGAGAGGGAGTTTATTGATGGAGTGGTTACATATATAGGGTTTTGGAGGATTCACAGAGTGACCAATTACAGGGTCAGGGAGCTTACAGGACACCCAATCGCAGGAAGGGGTTAAAAGAGTCCAATGGGAAGACTTCTTGATATCTCCCATGCAGGAATGTCCTGAGAAGATAACAGTTGCCGTGGGGGGTATTGGGAAGAAGAAAACACGAGCCAGCAAAGGGCCTACAAAAAGCCATTTTGGAAACATGTTTAAACAGCAGTTTTCTCATATAATGCAGATTTGCTGCTACAAACTTCCTTATTTTCCTGACCATGTTTCTTCACCAAAGAGCTACTGAAAAGCTTTCCCATAAAATGAGACTGATGTTGACTAAGGGATTCTTAATGTGTTTGTGAAATGTTTGAATGTATGTGTTGGCAAACTCTACTGCATTTTTTTTACTCTACAGGTGGAATGACATTGGGAATATATCACATAACAAGTCTTCGATTGTTCTAGAGTTGATCAACAAAGAAGAGAATGTGCTCTTTCACACAGTAAGAAAAAGATCTGATCAGTGTCATCAAGAAAGCTATTTATGTAAAAATAAACTTTTAAAATTCCACTTTCCCAGAGAGGCTCACTTGCATAACACCACCCCCCTTATAGTTCACATTTTACTTTATGCAGAGTGTGAAATTAACTTCATTTAGGTAACAATATGAGTATTCTATTCCAAGCATCCTGAAATATAGTGTGCTGGGAAGTCTACAAAAAACTAAAGTGCTTTTTGGATGGCATAAGTACAGTAGCATAAGCAGTTGTAGAAACTGGGCATAAGCCACCATGTGTGCACATACTGGAACTCAGAGGGCTGCGCTGCTGTTCTGTGCTATTTAAAATAACTCCACATCTCCCTGAACCAAGGCCTGTATAGAAACTGGACCAGCAAGCTTGAGCCATTTTTTTGTTGTTGTCCCTCCTACTGTGACTTAGCAGCTAAGTGGCAGCATGTAAAGGCACGCCACTGTATTTCAGTAATCCAATGCCTTGAATGCTCTTGAGGGCACTAGACATGTTCTTGGCAGACACATTCTGTACATGGTGGATCTTACCAAGCATTCCTGCAATTGGATTTTTTAAACTCTTCTTTGTCACTTCTTGGTAAGAGTAACAAAATAAATTTTTTTCCCCCCCTATTTTTTTCTTGTCTTTAAAGGACGATCTTGAAAATGCCAAATATATTTCACGCCTGTTTGCATCAAGACACAAGTTTTACAAACAAAACAAAATCTGCACAGAGTGAGTATTCTTTCTTCAGAGTTGTTTCCGGACACCCTGCTTTGGAATTGATCTGAGTTTTGGCATGTCTGGTTTTGTTTGGTTTTGTTATTTTTTGGGTTTTTTTCCTAGTCACTTATATCAAGTATTCTTTTCCCCTTTCCCTTTTTTCTTGTTTTGTTTTAACCAACAGCAAGAACAGACAATTGGAAATGAAATTTCATTCTGAGCCTTGTGAGGTTTTGATGTTCCCCAAGCAGCCAAATCCTACAGAGAATCTTGAGTTGAAGGCCTTGGTCTCTGCTGTTTATAACTCAGAGTATTAGTATAAACTGGAGTGAAAGGTGACATATGTTATCATGTCAAAATGTGAGTTGCAGTAGTAGATGCTTATCTAGCAGCTAAGGGCAAGTGGAAGAGTTGTCATCTTCTAATTTGGGCAGTATAATTTATCTGCCTCTTATGTGTCCCAAGAAAGGGAGGACACCTGAGCACGTTAATCTGTGTAGCTGTACTAGCACAGCGCAGCAGAGATTGTAAATCTAAACCTGAAGTCTCCCCTAGGCTCTACTTTGAGCACTTTCTTAGGAACTGGCTTTGAGCTAGTCCTCTCACATGGGTGGACTCTGAAGGAGGATTCATTAGCCTTTAGCTTTAAGTCGAATGTCTGTTTGTTAGCTGTTTCATTTACACCAGCACACATTTTTTTATGTTGAGATAAATTTAGCTTTCAGAATATTAGAGTTTTGAGAAGTTTTCATGATGTGCTGGGTGTGTATAGCACAGAACATTAAATTCTTGCAAAACTTATCATCTTAGTTAGCTGGAAAGATATGAAGAACTCTCATCTCTATCAACAACTCTAGTTAGACCTGGACTTCCTATCTGTTCAGCTGGATAATGCCATCTGTTGGAAAATAAAGCCAAAATGATGAAGAGAAGATTGGAAGGTCTAGCTTTCTAATATTACGTGTGCACACATTATATTAACATATGGGGAGTTAAAGCATAGGAGAGTCCAATGAGGCGAATTGTTTTGAGTGATCTTTTCAGTTACAGAAAAGAGATGTTTATTAGATTTCACATGGTGCTTACAGTTCTTGGGAGGTGAGTGGAAGACCAGAAAAGATATTTCTTAGCAACATATAATGGATTTCAGTAGTCCAATACTAATTTCAATTTTAATGGTCCCAAAGAGATTGAATTCAAAGGAAGATCCTGATTGTCTCCCCTGTGACAGTCAAGAAAGAAAATAAAATACCATAATCTGTCATCTTGGGATATTTCCCCTTTGACACTGTATATTGGGGTAAACAGGGAGAACTCTTCTTTTACCAATCATAATACAGACTGCAGAAGCAATAGCTTTTGAACATGTTTCTTTTTAATCACTAAGCCCTAAGCATATGGGTACCATGAACTGGATGTATGTAGCAGCTTCATGTGCAACTTGCAAACTAATGAAGATAAGGAATGTCACAAGGTCACTGAGTGAAATAACTAAAATTTAAATGTATTTTTGTCATTAGAACTGCTCCCCTTACCACAGTCTCATGTGATATAAGCTTTGGTGTTAGAGCCACAGATATTGATGACAGCATATGCCAATGTGTGTTTTCTAGCCAAATAATTTTCCTGCTCTCTGTGTTAAAATGAGTTGTTTGTTTTCCTGTGTGCCTTTCCTCTAATCGCACATAACATCATTCACCAGATCAGAAACTGTAAGAGGACAAATTCCACCTTTCCTCTCTTCACGTAAGCACTATATTTCTACCTCCTTCAATTTGTTTCTTTCCCTTTCTCATATTTTTTTTATCTCCTACACTCCTTGTTCCTTCCACTGCACCTGGCTACTCTAACATTGTATGTGGCTCTGGTAGTATTGTCTAAAAGTTGCTTTTTCTGTTTCTTGCTGATCTATGTGCATTGCTCTTGAGTGATTGCTATCAATTTCATAAAATTGTCATTGTTTTAAATGTTTACCTTAAGTCATCTGAGACTGCCTGTGTGCCATGTTCAGTTTTTATTGCTTAAGAGACTTGTTTGTTAAATTCTGGTTTAAAACATGAATCATTCTTTCTTTTGTTTCCAAGTAAGCCAAATAGGATAGTGAACAGAAGGCATGTATAGTTTGGAACGGGAATACTACCCATATTTAGAGAAGAACCTGAATTATTTTCATTTATTCGTGTATCTAAAAATCTCATTAATAAGCAATACTTACAGATTGTTCATGTCTTGTTTTACCCGTTTATTCTTGACTCAGAATTGAAGTCTTGTAGTTTCTATTATTTCTCTTTTTCTTCCACAGACAATCAAGTTCTCCTCCTCCTATCCGACGGCGGCCCACCTGGAGTAGGTCATCTTTGGTATGTGCCACAGTGAGACCTTTCAGAATGTCTATATAATTTCTGATGGGATGAGGTATTGTGTAAGATGAAGTACTTTCTAAATTTCAAATAAGCACATTAGCTCACTTCTTTTAGGCAATATGATTGGAATGAGTTTCAAGGGTGTGGCTGCCCAGGTTGATTAGTTTAACTGGATAATATCACCACTGAGTATTTAAAATTACAGTCTTCAAGGCGTTATATTTTCATTTGCCCTGCAGAAACTGAACATCTTTTCTACTGGATTGAGGTTATTTCAATATGTAGATATCCTCTAGAAAGAATTTGAAGTGTCCTATGCTGTATGCATCAAAACCTAGTCCTTACATAATGTTACAATTCACGTTTTTTCAATTCCTTATGTTTTTGTGTAAAGACTACTTACAGTTTACCAGCTTCTTGGGTTAGGAGCCTGTTTTCTGTGTGAAGTTACTGTTAATTTAAGTTAAACTAATATACTCAATAAGGATTGGAATTCAGAGCTTTTCTTAAATTGTACTTATTTCCATTTAACTAATCTCCAGAAAAACTAGAAATCTGACAAAACTGGGTAACTTTTTCCTGAAATCTTTGCCAAAAAAATCATGTGGGAGTCTCTCTTTCCCCCCACCCCCCTATCAGTTCTAAAAATGCTCCTTTTTTTTATTAAATTCTAACATCCAGTGCGTCAGTATTTCTTACTCTTATTTAACAGATTGTGAGTTTCTGTACCAGCGGCACTACTGGTTCCTTAGACAGAGGGCAATATTATCTCTATGCAGGTTGCCAGTTTTCATGTCTCATATAGGTTATACCTGCTTTGTAGACCTTTCCAGAATGAAAACTCTGTTAGCCTATTGCTGCATGGCAGAAAGCTCATGTGGGCAGAAGCGTTTTCTTGACGTAACCTCACAGCGTAGTTACAGCTTGTGAAAATGTTCCAAAATAAAGCTTAAGCAGGTACTGATATTAGGGTAGTTTTATCATTGTGGGCTGCAACAGAGGTTATCTGCTTGTGTGAATATATATACAGGCCAATAGATCTAAAAGGTGCATTCTGTGTTTCCCAGCCACTGGCAGGAAAGCTGTGGTAGCTGTTTCCAGATTTGTTTGTCCTTCCATTCTTAGCGTGCTTCTAAGGTGTCATGATGTGATACACAGGCTATATATTGTGTTCTCTGAGGCATAGTTACAGTATTCTTGGTACCTACCAGCTTGGTCCCTGAAAATAACTAGGAAAAGCTGAAGGAAATGTGCTTTGCATTCTTACACTGTGGCCTCAGTTATATCACAAGGGGAAAAAGTGAGCTGCTTTCTATATTATATATGAAAAATGGAAATCTGCTTCAAATTCTGCTGCCACTTTGTTTTGAACATAAGCATGCAACAAGTTTAAAAACCCTGAAGTCTCAGGCAGATCAAAAGGAGGAATGTGGGCTCATCAATTGAAAAATGAACTGGGCTGCTGCCTGCTCACGATGAACTTTCAACCGCCTTTTTCATAATTGTTCTGTGAACTTGTTGGAACAGTTCTCTTTAGAAGGGGAAAAAAAAAAGCCCTCCTGACTGTTGTCTGCACTGTACATACCTTCATACACCTACCTATTCATTTGTCTTGTATGGCAATAAATCAATAGGCAGAAATGGGAAGTGAAGTGGAATCTTTGAGGTGAGGCACTGCCACTTCACGAGGGATCATGTTCATTACTTTCAGATTAAGGCCCTTTATATGGTTTTGGCATCATGCTGAACCTGTATTTTTTTAACTACTACTTGAGAATCATTTTATGGTGTCTCTTTTTTCCTGTCAGGCTACCCAGTGGTGCTGGTTTTCCAGCAAAACCCCCCTCCATGTAGGAGATCTTAATATGAGGGTATGTTTAATTACCTGATTTTAAAAAAAATCCAAGTGATCCTTAATTTGGATATTGACATTCTGCAGACCTTAGGGTTCTTCTCTTTTGTCAGAAGAGGCAGATGTACCTTCAAAAACAAAATTTTCCCAATTTCTTGCAGATACCTTTCATAACATCTATCAGAAAGAAAACTGTCTGCTTCAGATGTATACATCTGAAGTCACTTCTCTTTCCTTGCACTTTTCCTTTGTCCTCCATTTGTTAGGTTTTCCATCATCTTGGTTAGTTCCAGACTCAGCTCCTCTACTAAGGTTGTCAACAGCAGGCTCCTTGGCCCATATTGTTCAGCAAGAGTACAATCAGAAGTGATTGTTGTAGCAGAAATATTGTCATTTTCCAGTTCTGGCTTAACACGGTGCTTTTTTTTATGCAAGGATTCATATGTGAGCTCAGTATCTTTGGTTCTCGTTCCTTCTCACCAGTTACACAGAAAATGTAAATTTAACCCCTTCCCCTCCTCTTCACTAGCAAACTTACATGATGCTCATTTGGTGTGTGTGCACACAAAGGTAGATTATTTGGTGAGGTTTTTTGCCTTGGGCGTTCACGGTATTCCTTAATAGCTTGAACTACTTGAATCAGCCTGGATAAAAAGCCCTTATTCTGCTGTTAAGGAAGATACATTCATGAGACAGCAGTGCCTTTCTTCTTCTTCTGCTTACTCCATAAATTGAAATATGTTTTCGTAAACTTTGCTCAGTGACATCAGGCAGGACATTGCAGTGCAGGTGGCAAAATGCGATTGCCAAACACATTGGTTTACCAATGGACAAAGCTGGTCAATATGGCATCAGCTGTGATTTCTTTTTCTGCAAATAATCCTGTTGATGTAATGCTGAATCACACCCTCTGAGACTTAAAAAACTTGTTACAGTGCAGATTATTGGCAGAACGCTCTAATTCATTAGCTAGGGGATCCGATGTTCATGTAATTTGCAGAGTTATTTTAAGTCCATCTGTGGTGTATTGCTTGTATAACAGTGTTCTAGGTCCTTGAATTTGTTCCATCTCCTGCTTTTGTCCCGATTAGGTGTCTGTCTTGTTTGGGTTTAATTCTTCAAGGGCAAGGGCTTTTAATAAAAGTTTGAAAAGCTTTAAAAGAGCTGAAAGTGTCGCTGCTGTTTTTTGAAGTGATTGAGCTTAAAGGAGTCTTAACTGGTCAGCTTTGGGCTCTATAACAAAATTTAGCAAGCAATTTACAAAAAGTTATTTTCTGTTCTATAAAGAACTGCCAAACCGTGTGCCTTTGGCTGGGAAAGAAAGAACAGTATTCAGTGGAAAAGGCATAGGACCATTTTTCCTGTTTCCGTTGAAGAAATGGTAGCAAATGAAGTTCTAATACTTCTTTTTCTTTGTGCTTTTATTTCAGCCAAGACAACATCCTTTTATACTGCCTCCTATGCATGTCCAGTGTGGAGAACACTACACTGAAACACATAATTCACAAGGTACTTAGAGCGTAAATTTTTCCTTTAATGGACTTCCATTTTATGTGTATGCAAAGAAGCTCCTAACCCTTATGTCTAGATTTACAATACCATTGTGGTCAAATGGGAGCTGCTGCTGCAAGAGAACAAGCAATTTTATAGTTAATGATGCAGTAAGTCTTCTGTTTAAAGTCCAATTTCAGTTTTCAAATTTCTCTAAAATATCTGTGCATGATTATATGGACCTTAAACTTGGTATTCCAGCTCAGTGAGCTGAAAAAATAATTTCTAAAGGGAGTATGATGGCTGTACTCAAAGGCAGTGCCAGCTGGGGCCAGGGAGAGAAACCAAGTGAGGGAAAAGGATAAAGCAAATATCTTACTGTAGGACAAATCATAGCATCCTGTCCACGAAACGATATCTTTAGATAATCTTTTCTCCAACAATCTGCCTGCATTGTTAGCCTTACAAACATAAGGAGGGTTAACTATTTTTATGCCCATGTGTGACAAATAAATTCTTTAAGAGATTGTACCAGGTTACTTTGATCAAGTCTGGAAATGGAGCCTAGCCCTTAAACAACTTCAGTCTCACACCCTTAACTACCCCAGCTTCTGGAATATACGTAGCCAGGTCTGTTAGGTTAATGTTCTTTGCAGTTCATGAGAGGTACAGTTGAAGTGCTCTCACTAGCAGAGAAAGTCTCTGTCATACCTGATAGTGTTTTGGAGTTGTGGTGATCTGACTAATTTTAAGGTAGAATTTGATAAGTTTTAAGAGGAGACATTCACTATAGTTCCTTGCATACAGTAGACTTAATTTAGCAGCTACTACTGTTTACTTTGAAGGTGAGGCTCTGAAGGATATTCTCAATTTTAGAAGAATTGTCAAGTTCCCTTAGTTTTACCACAGACTTTGCTATATTGTCAAAGAACTATCCAATTTCAGAGTCTGGGGAGCTGTTACAAGATTTTCGGCATGGACAGTCTTGCAGTAAAGTTGTGATCCAGGATATGGTCTTTACTATTAGATTTCCTCACAAATATGCTATGCTTTTGCTAATAGTAAAGCACCTCTGTAGGGTGGTTTGCTGTTTGGTTTGGGTTTGGGGTTTTTTTGTGTTTTCTTTTGTTTTTTTCTCCTGAGCTTTGATTATCCAACTGATATCATACTTCAGATCCTCAAAACTGTTGATTGGTCAGAAGTAAGATTTCCAATTCCACAGTCCTCTGCTACTTTGAATCACAGACAGCAGTGTATCAACAGAAAAGATAAGAGAACTTTTTAGGTTAACCATATTCTAGCAGCACTGGATTTTTAAGGTGTCAGCAGCAGTGAACCCTTCCAGAATGCTGAGGTAGGAGATGCCCCTTTATTATTCCCTGCCACCTCAGGCAAAAACGCTTCCTCTCTTTCCCCTTTCATGTCTCCCACAAGGATCTGAACTACCGTATTTTGCTGTTGTGAGGTTTACCTTAGTAGCTTTGTTTTAGTTATATTTCAATGACTCAAGACCACATGCTTCCTGCACTTGTACACTAAGCTGTCTCTGTATTCACTAGTGCAGACTGCATTTGAAGTTTTGTTAAGATTGAATGAGTCCTTGTATTTTAAAATTGTCAACGTTTATATCTCTGCTCTATACAGATAGCATTTTTCATGGAAATGAAGAAACCTTCTACTGTAGGTCTCAGACCAGTTTGGATAGGTGTCCAATGGACTTCAGCTACTTGAATGGTAATGGACCCAATGGGAGCGTATGCAGTGCCCACAGCATGAACTCCCTCAATCGCTCACAGAACTTCATCCAGGCATCTCCAATGTCCTCAAATCTGAGCATCCCTGGAAGTGACATCATGAGAGCAGACTATATCCCCAGCCACAGACATAGTGCAATCATAGTACCATCTTACCGACCAACTCCAGACTATGAAACCGTCATGAGGCAAATGAAGAGGGGGGTAATCCAGATGGATAGCCAAAGTCAGTCTTTGCGGAATCTCAATATTGGAAACACACATGCTTATAACCAGCCAGAAGACCTAGTTTACAGTCAGCCTGAGATTCGAGAGAGACATCCTTACACAATTACATATGGGCCCCAGGGTGGTGGCTATAACAAGCCTGTTGCCCCGTCTGAACAAATGAACCCTAATAATGCTGCTCAAAATAAAGCAGCAGCCAGCGCCATATCCCACACTGTCAGCACCCCAGAACTGGCCAACATGCAGCTGCAGAGCAGCCAGAGTTACAACACTGCTCACATGTTAAAGAACTATCTCTTCAGACCCCCACCTCCATACCCACGCCCACGTCCTGCCACGAGCACACCGGACCTGGCAAGCCACCGGCACAAGTATGTCAGCGGGAGCAGCCCTGACCTGGTCACTCGTAAAGTCCAGCTCTCAGTAAAAACCTTCCAAGAGGACAGCTCGCCGGTTGTCCGCCAGTCGCTGCAGGAGGTCAGCGAGCCCCTCATGGCGGTGAAGCACCATGCAGCGGTGAACAAGCGCCACAGTTTGGAGGTCATCAGCAACATGGTGCGTGGTATAGAAGCCATGGCACTAAAAACTTTAAACGCCCCTCTGCCACGCAGGAACACTTTGCGGGAGCAGGTGCAGCCGGAAGAATCAGTTCAGATGGGGCACGAAGTTCAGCAAGTTCCTCATTATCATCACAAAAAGACATTTTCTGATGCCACAATGCTGATACACAGCAGTGAAAGTGAAGACGAAGAAGAAACCCAAGAATCTGTGTCACAGATAACAGCCCTCCATGAGAACATGGAGTACAGTGCCCAGCTGCAAGCTGCCTTGGCTAGAATACCAAATAAACCTCCTCCGGAGTATCCTGGGCCTCGTAAAAGTGTCAGCAATGGAGCCCTGAGGCAGGACCACGTTAGCATTTCTGTGGCTGTAGCCAAGGCCAAGGCCATGAGGCCGGGGCCTTCCAAAGCCATCAGTGTGTCTCGAACTGATCAAGTGGCAATAAATGGGTCGTCACTTGGGCCCTCTATCTCAGAGCCGGACCTCACCAGTGTGAAGGAGCGGGTCAAGAAAGAACCAGTCAAGGAAAGGCCTGTGTCTGAAATGTTTTCTATTGAGGACAGCATTATAGAAAGAGAAATCATGATGAGGGTAAGTGCCTTCCTCTGTTGCGATGGCTTCTTGGAAATTAGTAGTCATACAGGTCAATTTCCATACCAGAAAACTGTTGGGTAGGTAAACTGTGGGGAATGTGTGGGTGTAAAGTTGTGGATTTGCTTATAGTTGGGAAATGTGATATTAAGCGCAAGGTACAATTTGTTTTTGTGGGTCTGTATGGCCACTAAAGGGGCTGATCCCATGCACTGCTGTTGGGCTTGTCTGTTTCTTCAGCTGTGGCTCTTTGGCTGCTGGCCAGGTCTGTGTCTGACCCAGCTGAGGATGCCACCACCCTGGCAGCAGTGCCGGCTTGAAGTGGGTGGCAGGGCATGGAGCTGGTGGTGAGGGGGCTGACAGCAAAGCCCCCCTTGATGCCTGCTGCCCCTCTGTCTGCACGCCTCTCCAGCCCCCATGGATTTGAGGGCAGGGAGAGTCTGAAATGTGTTTGCCGAGATGGGTGGAAAGTTTGGTTTCAGCACTAGCATTTTATTCCTTCTTTGCAAGGATGTCAAGTTAAGTATCACATAACATAGTGGGAACTCTTGATTTTCTTCGAATGATCTTTAATTTCTTTCCTGCCACTTTATGTAACATAGTTATCTAAATAAAACCCAAGTAGCTCTAGGATATGGATTGTTGGTTTTGCCAGTAACCGAGGAACCAGATATCTAAATACGGAAGCAGCAGATGTAGAGGCTGTGTAGCTGAGCATCTGGACTGTTTATTTTTTAAAAAATGCATTCAAGTATGAGAAATAGGGTTCTGTTAAAACTGCAATGAATTTAAAATAAAAAGTATTTAAAGTTTTCAGTGCCCCTGTGAGCAATGACAGAAATATGAGGGGTGCTTATCACTTAGTGACTTACACATGTACTTGACGTAGTGCTGTGGAGGAGTACAACTGCAGTCACAGAAAGAAAAGTGTATGCTGTAGTTCTTGTTTTCAGAATTGAGGTCTGAAACAAATTAATGAAGTATCTAAATGGTCTAGAGCAGAAAAGAGTTTGTAATGTACTAGATCAATAACTAGTTAGATTTAAAATACTACTGCATATTCAAAGAAATTTTCTAAACATATTCATTGTTGTTCTTGTTTATTGGGGATCCTTACACTGATGTAATTGTTAGGAATCAAACCTGAGCTACTAAGTTGCAACGTGGAGTCTGAATTTACTCCTTGTCAACTCCTAAACTCTAAATCTGAAATAGATACTTGACTATAAAACATGACTTTTTGTGAATTAATAGACATTGGTATAACAATGAATATATATATATATATGCATTTTTTTGATCTTCTGAGGAAAGAAAAAATATTGAAATGCAGGAACCTACAGGAGTTTAGGATGGAAATGAAGGTGAGAAGAGAGCTTGGATGTTGTTTGAATATTCTTCTTCTGCAATAACCATTCAGATGCTTTGGTCAAAAAGTGCTTTTTTGTTTTTGTTTTGAAAGTAAAGGGGTAGTCTTAGCATTAGGCTTTTAAGGTGGTTTCAGCCTAGATGAGGAATCTTAACATGTGCAGACCTTCCTTTTGTCATGGGAATCAAGTGTTATATTAATGGTAATTTGATGACCTTGATCTGTTAAACGCAGACTTTTTTACCTTGATCTGTTAAACGCAGACTTTTTTTCTCTTTCACCTTTGAAGTAGTAAAAATAATAAAATCCCCAAACAAAGAAAAAATTCCTGCATTTTCCTGCTTTCTGAAAGTACGAAAAGAAAGCAGAGAGTGAGTTTGGATTTTTATTCTGCTTATTTGTTTGTATTTTGCTTAGTGCTCTGGAGGAACCCAGTGGTGAGGAAAAAGCTCACAAGCTTTTGAAAAATCAAGTCATTTACATATGTCTGAGGGCATTCAGGTTCAATAGTATGTTTCTAGGAGCTGAGCTTCGCTTGTCTGGTGACCACAGCTTCCATATGTGTGCCCCGAACCAGGCATCTCTTGTACTTATCTCTCCTTCCAAATCCAGCAGAAAGAACTGTTAAGGAAATAGAATAAAATGTTCTTAATTTGGGTACTTCTGCAGATGCTCTGTCTCTTTTGATGCTTCAGCTCCCAGTGGCATAAGGAGGGGGCAGCAGGATGAATTTAAAATTCATGCTCTGGTTCTCCATGTCATAGCATAATATGATGCATGAATATGATAAACAATATCCCTCCCTGGCTGCTGTTATATTCGGTTTCTGGGACATGTGAGCTCAGTTTTTAGTGCAAAATATATCATGGGTGCTGTGTGAATCACCATAACAGCTGACTGCATCAGAAGACTTCTCATTTTAAGTATTACCATCACAGAAGAGAAACAATGGCCTGTGTTTTACTGTTTGATATAATAGATTGAAATTATTGCTTTTAAGAGATGCTCCAAGCATCTTGGCTTTGGTAGTGCTACTTTAACATAACAGAGTGATGCTTTGTGTGTCCTGCATTCAGAATAATGTCTGTAGGAAAATGCTCGAGATTGTATTTGTATGTCTTTTGATGGCATGTAAACTGCATTACATGCTGGGATTGCTTCTTTGAAATTAAAATTCTGCGCTCATGTAGGAGCAGGCCTTTGAGGAATAAGAGGAAGAATAGAGGTTGTATTTGAATTTACGATGCTAATGGTGATCATCTGCATTCCTTGGCCAGAGAGTTGCAGATTTTGGAGATTAAAAAAACATTCCAGCATTTTACTGGCATTATAAATAATCACACAGAGATGAAAACGTGCCTTTTCTTGCCAAAAGAATCTAGAAAAGCAGAAGATGGCAGGCCTGGAGGCCCAGAAGAGGCCCTTGATGTTGGCAGCACTGAACGGACTCTCAGTTGCTAGGGTTCCAGTGCCGGAGGACAGCCAGGATGAAGTCGCCAAGGTGCCAATGGATGAGAGGGTAAGATGGAGGCTCATGAAATGTTGCTCATTCTTTTTGTTCCCAAGAGCATGAAGTTTCTAAAATACAAAAATTTGATTTAAAATGTGAAAAAAAGTTTCTCTTTAAAGTATTCAGAGACACTAATGCAAAAGGTCTGTGGTAAAAACCGGCATGTTTTTGGATGCAGGCAAAGCATTCAATGTTTTGAACACTTACTGAAGGCAGTGAGAATGGAGGCTGTTCTCTGTTTCATCTGACTGTACAATGTGTACACGATCAAACTGTAAATCTAACACTTTGCACATTTTTCACATGATCAGGTGAAGTTCTACAGTCCCCTAGATACGGTCTTCCATCTTCTGATATAACTAAGGAGTTCAATCAATTTCTCTAATGGGATTAAATTTCAAGGGAAAAACAAAAAGGTTGTTTGCCTCCTGATGTTTGCACACACAGATGTTCCATGAATATGGAATTTTGGAAGTTAAAAACAGTTGCTGCCATTAAGATTTGAGAAACATATTTGCAAAGAATCTTCCTGGTTTTCTGCATAGAAATTTGCAGCCTTGTGTTGTCTGGTACGCAAACCGCAGCACTTAACCTCTGTGTGTACATATTTGGGGTTGTGTTCAACCACAGACATTGCATGCTTGCAAGTTAGGGAGTATTTTGAAAATGTGAGCCACATCACACTTCTCACAGTATGATCTTCTTCCTGAAAAAATAATTTTAAAATATTTTTACAAGTATCTATTATGTTGAAATCACACATTCATACTGAAATCTGAAATTCTTACTGAACCAAGATTGTATTTGGCGCAGACTTGCTTTTTATGCTATCTGTGTTCAAAATTGTGGAGGTGGAATGTAAAACTGTAAAATTGGCTTGTGGTTTCATTCAGTAGAAATAAGTGTGTCATATTTCCTCAGATAACTGCAAAAAGAAGCAAGTGAGATAATGCTATGGCTGTATATTGGAATTCAAAGAATGGATGGATGGGTCTAGCGGTTAATCTGCTTCCCAGAAGAATTAATGTATCGATGTTCCTTTCTGTTAAATCTTAGTGCAAAATCTTGAGAAGGAAGTTGGAAGAGGGCATGGTGTTTACAGAATACGAGCAGATTCCAAAGAAAAAGGCAGATGGGATCTTCACCACTGCTGCCTTGCCTGAAAACACTGAGCGCAATCGCATCAGGGAGGTCATTCCTTACGAGGAAAACCGAGTAGAGCTGGTGCCGACCAAAGAAAATAATACAGGCTACATCAATGCTTCACACATAAAGGTAAAAGCTTTCTCGAATTTTGCTTTGCAAATGGAGGTATGCTAAAGCTTTGTTTGAATTTCTGGATGCACAGCAGCATTTTCTGTAACTCTGGAGCTTCTGAAAAGGTAACCTGGTCAGAATGCATCATTGTACCCGTGTGTCAGCATGGGCGTCTCTAAGGTCCCCTCTCAACGAACATTGTTGGTTTAACTGCTGAAGACTCGGGTGTCATTTTAGAGAGGCGTCCTTGCTTTTTTTATGCCCATCTCTGCCAGCTGGTTGGGGAATATCTCTTGGTTAATGTAGAAAGAGATGCCATGTTGTTTAAGCCTCAGGAAAATGCATTAGATCAGCCCCAATACCTGCAGTGTAATATGATTGTCATGGCCCTGCACCTGATAAAATGAGAAGTCAGTATGTGTTCTGAATTATCAGTCCCAAAAGTCTTGCAGGCCACTGGGGGATTACAACAGCTCATGCAGAATGAGTCCCTACAGCTGACTGGTGCACCCTGGAAAGAATACTGCACAAGCTTTGATTGAATCTTTTTAAATTTACTAGCATACAGGACGTGATTTTTAAAAATCAGAACTGTAGCTCCATGTATGCAGTACCATGCCCAAAGGAAAGGGATATCGTTATGAGTAATGCATATTCATATAGATACTGAAATTATATATACAAAAAACTTATTCATTCCTTTTATGCTGAGAGTTGACTAATTTTAAAAGAAATTTTTTCAAGTATGCATTGACCTTACTAATAAGTTCCCTGTATCTCTGACTGGAAACTGCATTGAACTTCCATGTTTCAAATTATGTTTTTAACAAGAAATTTCAGATTTCATGTTAATTCAAAGTAGAAATACTTTAAGGTATGATCTGACTGTTACTTGCAAACATGGCCAGTTTTAACAGTGAGCTGTGCTGCAGTGACTGCAGATGCTTGTTTTCTCTTAAGCTTCCAGCACTATTCTCAAAGTCCTCTGCTGGCTTTTTCTGTACCATGAGAGAAGTAACAGCAGTCCTCTGCCTCACATGACAGATTCTCGTGTTGTTAAAGAGGGTTGTCTGCTTTTTCTCATTGTCAAAATTCAAATTAAAAAGAAATAATTCAAAAATAATGAATAAAACATCCTGTTAAATTAATATTTTCCTTGAGTAAAAGCCTTTTAAAAGTTCCAAGACACTTGCTGGCCTTGGTTGTGATTTACAGTATTAAATCCTGGTGATACAAAACAATTTCTGAACCAGGATCCTAGGAGTTTATCACTTTTCTGCATAGCCTGGTAGGTAGCAGATACTGAGTTTTTGCATAATCAGATGTTGCTATGATGGTGGATTTCTGAGCCCAAAATTTTTCACCTACTTTATAGGAGGCCAAAAAAAAAAAAAAGTATTCCTTAATTATGCCCACAAAGCAGTACTAGTCAGAAAAGAGTTTTCCCTGGCTAGTTTTGAGTCCACACTTTACCTGATGTGTTGGACACACACACCTCTCGCATCCATAGAGCACCCAGAAACAGGCAGTGATGTTCTGATGCCTGACAGAGGGCCTTGGCAGTATTTCCCTCTTGCACTCGTAGTGGTGCAAGCAGAAGCCAAGCAGATGTGCTTTTGCTCAGAAGGTGAAATCACATCTGTGAAATTTACCTCAGTAGCACAGTGTGTGTCTGTGTTTTCAGCCCAATATTTAATTTTTAATTTCCTGCAGTTAGGGCATTAGAATGCAGTAAACATTCCAGGCATCCCTTTCCCTTCGGACTATTTATGGTCCTTTCATACCATGTGCCAGGAGGCTGGATATTTGGACCAGAAGTAGACAAAGCAATAAGATCCATGCCTGGAGGATTCCAGCTCCCACTACCTCAGTCTGTGAGCCCCACAGTTTTACAATAATTCTGTGCTTATTTACCATTGATCATTGCTGTTAAAATATGAAGATCATCGTCTATACCAAAGAGAAAAAATGCAATTAAATTTATAGATTAAGCAAAAAAATTCTTAAGAGCACTTCATCTGACTGTTTGGTCGTGCCAGTATTAACTTAAAAAGCTCAGTAATGCTATGCCAGCACTCATGACTGCAGATGAGCAAGCACAAGGCCATGAGTCCAGGTGCAAGATGCTGCTTAGTGCTGGGCAGTTTATATTCACTCCCATCTAGTACAAGAACTTGAGGAGCCTACCTGCGTTGGTCTTGCAGCTTTTAACCATCATTCAAAAAAAAAAACCAAACCTGCACAGTATGAAATAAGAAAAGGAGCTGATGTACAGAGTCAAACAGTTTTCAATGAAGTGAAAAACTTATCATACAAAAACTGTTAGTTAGTTACCGGTGTAAAACCCCAAGCATCTCAACTTAATGAACAGTTGTTTGACTAACAAATAAACTAATTCTATTTCTGAAAATGTATTCAAAGACTTGTACCTCAAACACGTTATATGGTTCAACCTGTCAGAGTTATTGATTGTTCCTTGTAGCACTGTCTGCCAGGACCTTGATATTTATGGACATGTCAGCATTTCAGTTGTAAATCTTCTCTGGGATTTATAACTTACAAGAAGTGGCTCTGGGCTAATACACAGAATTAGGAGGCCTTATCCTGCGAAGGAAAAATTTTTCAACTCTCCAAAACAATTAGTTCATCTGGTTTTGCTGCTAAGCATATTTTTGAAATGATATGTAGTAGCTCTGAAAGCACTTTGGCTTTTTACCTAAAATGTTAAAAAAAATTTTATAAACCTTTCCTGGTGTATAGCAAACTATGTCATAAAATTATAATTTTTTATACACAAATGATTTTTTTTAACTGCACAAGTATAACTTTCTACCTCCATCAGTTAAATGAAGTAGTGTTTTACACTGGCTAACTCCAAGGTAATGCTGTGTCTGTTTAGGGCACTATATGATTTATAGTGTGTAAATCTGTGTGTTAGTGCTTTAAAAAGAATTTCATTACTCACCATCATGCAATACACAAATATTTCTGTAAGATGTGGTTGGTAAACCAGTTATATGTTGGGAAATAGATTTGCATGACTACAGCTTTAGATAATTTTAAATTTCTCATGGTATTTGAAAGCCATTTAATGCACTGGATTTACTGTATGGTCATTTGCAGCTTCTGAACAGAAAAACCCAAGATAAATGAGGAAGAGTAACTTGAAATGGAGCCTGTCTTGTTCTCCTCTATGGCTGGCAACAGGCCTGTTGAGCTCTGTTATGTACAGAGTGTGGGCATAGCTGTGTCCTCTAGGAACAGCTTGGCCGCATCTTCAACAGTGATCAGTGTAGTAAGAGTCTGTTTAATAAATTACTTTTTGTCTGAGTGGAAAATAATCGAGGGAGGTCCTAAACAACAGAGGCCTTTAGCTCGTCATGCACAATGTCATTTGCATTCTGCACTACCATGTGTTAATTTGCAAGCAGTGCGATGCCTTTTTAATGCACATATGCGCTTCCTCTGGTCCTCAGCTTTTCTTTCATCTTGGGTCTGTCACCAAGGCTGGGGATGTCAGTCAGTTGCTTGTTTGTACTTAAGCCATATCAGAAACAGGGTCTCAAAAAAAATTTTTTTTTGCTGTTTTGTTTGTTTGGTTTGGGGTTTTTTTTGTGTATGATCCAGACAGAGTGGCAAGAAAGATAGATGGCATTTAGGTCAAAGCTTTATATTTATGGGCATCGAGACTGGATGTGGAAGCACCAAAGATTAAGTTTTGTCAGATTTGATCTAATCAAAAGGATGATTTTTGTTGAAAATTTTGAACAAAAGCAGAAAAACAAAGAAGTAAAGATTTCATTATAGTCTCTCTTGTTTAAAAGGTGGTTCTGGCACAGGTGCTGCTGAGAATTTGGGCACTGACTGGTTGGGGTTTTTTCCTTTCTCCCAGGTTACTGTAGGTGGAGAGGAATGGCACTACATTGCTACCCAAGGACCTCTGCCACACACATGCCATGACTTCTGGCAGATGGTGTGGGAACAGGGAGTGAATGTTATAGCCATGGTCACAGCTGAAGAGGTACGTGAAATCACAGCATACAGTTCTTCCTGATGTGAGCAAATCTCCTGTTATCATTGCTTCCCACTCCAGTAACCTGTTTTTTCTATCAACATCCCTTTTTCCTATAACTCTGTTTGAACATATGCCTGTACTTCTCTCATACTATACTTTGTAGCATTCTGATACTCAGTTTGGCAAGTGCTAAAGCAAACAAGCAAAAGCCCCCCTTGCCCCTGCTTTAGCCAAGCCAAACAAAGATGTTTCCACTGGAATGTGAGAGCACTGAACTGCTCTTGGTTAAAATGACACAGAGTTCCACACCATCCAAGGCCAGTTCTGCATACTGTCACTCTTATCAGCCGAAAAGAGACCAGAAGCTGTTGTTTCCATAGAAGTGTCCATGTAAAAAAACCCAACAAAACAAACAACAAAAACAAACAAAAAAACCCCCACAACTTTTTTATTCTAATGCCAAGCAAAACAGTTATTTCTACTGTAATCCAAGAACTATGTGATATGTTATAAAAACTGACACACGTTGTTAACTAACACAGCTTTCAGCCTTATGCCTGGTTATTTTCAGCAAACACAGGGAGTAGCAGAGCACATCAAGTCACCGTCCAGTTCCCAAGGCTGATCAAGAGCAGATACTTAGAAGCTGCTGAAGAGAATCTCCCTTCATTTAAAGGAGAGGCTTCCCCAGGGGGAAAATATTTACCAAGGTGTTGCAGGCAGTAGCTGTATTTTGCCACAAGGCAGGAGGTTGTTCTTCAAAGCAGTTTTACACTTTCAAATATTACATGGCTGAGAGGTTTAAGTGTTAATGGATATTTTTCTTTACTTTGTGGGATGCTCCTTGCTCTTCCAGTAATTTGAAATAAGAATACTTGGCTTATCTTCAGTTTTATGTCCTCTGTTTACAGAGAATTATAATTGCAGGAACTAATGGCTTTTTGTTTTGTTTTGTTTTTAAGGAGGGAGGAAGAAGTAAGAGCCATCGTTATTGGCCTAAACTGGGCTCTAAGCACAGCTCAGCCACTTATGGGAAGTTCAAGGTGACAACAAAGTTCCGCACAGACTCTGGCTGCTTTGCAACTACTGGTCTGAAGGTCAAGCATCTTCTCTCTGGACAAGAGAGGACAGTGTGGCATTTGCAGTATACTGACTGGCCAGACCATGGGTGTCCAGAAGAAGTCCAAGGCTTTTTATGTAAGATTTCTTTATCTTGCATGATAAACTACATCTAGGAGAAGGTTGCTCACACTGAATTCAATTCACTGAACCCAGTTACACCTGGGATTGATATTAAATGGTTATTGCTGTGGCATATAAAGGCCTCAACTAGGTTGTACTTTGCTGCAATTTGGAGGAAAAAAGTGGGATTCAAGAGGTAGGAGCTAAGGTGATTAACAGGGGGAATAATTCAAGGCAGCAGCAGTGCCAAAGACTCAGGAAATTTTAAATAATAGGATACCTCTGCCGGCTGATCTGTCAGTGTAAGTTATCACCACTTCCCAGACACCTAATGAGTGTAGGAGGTACTAGGCTGCACACAAACGTGATTAGAGAGGTCCAGGTGAGAGAGGATCAGGTTTTAGTGAAATATGGTGCAGTTCCTCCAGTTTTTCTTGTTACAAAATAGCAGAGGCCTCTGACACACATGCATTAAGTTTGAACTTGATACCACTTTTCTAACCACATGTGATGCTCAAGGGCCTTCCCAATAACTTATGGTCCTAGTTCATGCATTTCTGAAAATACAGCCATTATATTAATCTGTAATGTGTGAATAACACTCCCCGCTTCTTAATAAGTAATGTATATTTCTATATTAAGTAATAGGAATTCAACCATTATTTAACTAAAGTGACGTATCTGGCACTATGGCAGAGAATCTTTAAATTAAATTAATACAGATTTCTTTAAATTAACATTGAAGGAGCCTGTACATGGTGTACTGACATGTTGATGATGCCTGCCCTCTTAGTTCCTGAAAGTTTTGCAGCTGCAGTGTAACTCTGTGGCAGCTAAGTCCCCTCTCAGGAAGGTCCTTTAGTTCTACTTCAATCTTGACACAGCTACAGTCCCTTAGTGGTCCATTCTCCTTTGCATGGTACAAGCTTGATGTAAATAGCATGTCCTTCTTTTCCCAGTTCTGTCACCAGGGCAAAAAAATAAAAAATGACATTTTGGCTTCAGGAGAGGAGTGCCAAGGGATATGTCTTTAAGGAAAAGCTATTGCCCAATTCCTAGTTTGTTCTGTACTTTGTTTCTCTTACCAACTCTTGTAGCTGTGGTTGGGCATGGCAGTAATTGGAACCTGATTGTCCCCATTTCCTCTCTCCCATTACTTGCCACCACTTACAGTCCCATTTCACTGTGCATTAAAATTCAGCTTTTCTGATGTTGGTAGGCCTCCAGCTGCATCCTTCCAGTGGTGAAAGGACAGCTTAGGCTGCAGTGCCATGACATCAAGAGTCAGTGCAAGAGAGTTCACCTCAGGTCTCACTTCCCACTCTGACTGCTGGGAAGCTAAGTAAGCTTCCAGTACTTAAGGTTCTCGGTGCAGTTTGACAGTAGAATGTGTTGTGTTGAACAAGGCTAGGACAGCCACACAGTGTAACTGTTCTAGAAATGGCTTCAGGGAAAACTAAGGCAGTGATCTCCCAGAAAGGCTCATAACTATTGAGAAACAAACCCTGAGCAGGTGGGTGAGATTCCATCTCAGTCTAGAAAGGAGAAGGAAGGGAGGAAACAGGGCAGATGGATGCTTGTTTCCCATCTGATGCTGGCTTTGACAGGCAGCAGTTTCAATAGGACTTAGCTGTTGTTTCAATCCCAGCCTGTTAATAGCAGGAATTGCTGTAAGTAATGTCTAGAATCATCTGCTTAGGGGACCTGGAGATTTGCAAGGGGGAAAACAGAATTTAATTTTTTAAAAGAACTATTTAATTTAAAGGAGCAGACTCCCAAGTAATAATTGACACCCAGCTGGTACTTGCTGGATGCAGTGCTGTTCCATGCACCCTGGCCAAAATAATTAGTATGTTGTAAAAAATGTAAATTATTGCCACTTAGGTAAAGAATGACTTTTCCACATTCTTTCACCCTTTCCCCCCTGTCGAATTTTATGTTTAGACATATAGATGTTGCAACCTTGCCTGCATTTTACCTTGCAGCTTACTTGGAGGAGATACAGTCGGTGCGTCGCCACACCAACAGCGTGCTGGACAGCAGCAACACCTGCAACCCTCCCATTGTGGTTCACTGCAGCGCAGGGGTAGGAAGGACTGGAGTAGTTATCCTGACAGAACTGATGATTGGGTGCTTGGAGCATAATGAAGTAAGTCAGCTTCTTTTGCAGGACAAACCCCTGACCCGAGCTCGTTCCTTGACTAACTAGCTACATTTCTGAGGTTAAAATTAAAAGGCATTGAAGTGCTTTCTTTCTCTGCTACCTTTGTGAGCAAGGTGAGAGCCTTAAATGTAACAGGCAGAGATTTCCCATGGAAGGTTACTTGTTGTAGTTTTCTGTTTAGTTGACATAATGCATTTTTTATTAGCATTATTTTAATGCATTCAAAATTAGGGTTTTCTTCTCTCTTTTAAAGATTTAGTCTAATTTATACCTGTATTTAATTAAAAGTCTAGAGACAGCATGTTTACAAGGAGTACCCGAAAGAGGCTAGAGAATAATGTCCTTGCTCTTTTAACTAAAGTTTTCTGCTCTCTAAATTTGCTCCTTAGAATTCTTCCCCTTTCTCATATGGACCTTAATCTCACATGGACTGAAACTTAACTATGGTTTAAGAATAACGTGTGTGTATGTATTCCAATGGGGAATAAGGCTTTAAGATTTGCAGACAATATGACGAGTAATACAGTCTGGAGTTAAGAATAAGATCACCAGTAGAGTAACCGTGTGTAGCAATTTGCTTTTCATCTATGTCACTGAGAAACTGTCTAGGAAGAACATCACATCTTAACTAACAACATGACACACAGTTTTCATGACAGCTATGGAAACCAGGGATTTCTCTTGCCAAAGAAAATGCTCTGTGAGAGAGCATTTGTAGAGATAGGAATGCAGCAAGAGTAACAAATAGACATATATCATCTGCCTCTCCCAGTAATCAGCCACTGGATGAGTTCAGGGAAGACTGAAGACTCCAGCAGCTCATCACTCTGTAGTTACAAGATGGCTAGAGATCTTGGGCTCAGGTCAGCGGACAGACAAGCCTCCTCCAACTCTGCTTGGGCCTCACTAGAGGTGACGCCGTCCTGTAGATCGATGTCACAACTGACACTTTTTTTCCTTTGCTTTTTGTTTGCGAGGGAGGTAGGAGGGTGAGGAAGGAAAAGAAGGAGGTGGCCTGGACAAGAAAGGGCCCACAGGTATGCGCTTTGGGAACTCAGCAGCCTTCCTGTGCTGACTGCTGCTCAGAAACTGCTCTCGTGTGGGGCGACGGCTCTGACTCTTGAGCCTGCTCACGCACTGGCACCTGGAAGTGACTGCTTCTGTTGTGCACACAGTAGCCATGAAATTTCTGCATGCCAAAGGAAAGCTGGAGAGTTTGAAGAGCTGTCCCTGAATTGCTTGTGACCATCAGTGTAGCTGTGTCTACTTTGTAGCAACCTCTGTATGTGCATGGAAACAAACATTAAGGGTTGTGTAACACTGTCTGCCACCTCGGTTTGTCTGTGGTTTACAGAAGTCACCCATTTGGGAAAGAGTAGCTGAGTAGCAACTGAAGATAAAGGCAGTACCTCAACATCTAAGCATGGGGGTGAGCCTTGACATCATTCATAAGAATTTTCATCAACTTCTCTAGGACCTGATGGTAGCGCTCAACAAGGATTTCTCTGATGTCCCTTAATTAAAGGATTCTTTTGTCTTGATTAATAATGAAAATCATCATTAATATTAAATAAAATTTTCCTTAAGGGCTTCGTTGCTCTAGATTGTACTAAGTTAATGTTTTTGATTTGTTAAAACATAATTGAAAAAAAAAGATTAAAAATCCTAAAAGTATGCTTTTGGTTTGTGACAGATACTCTATTCTGCACAGAGGTGGTTCCTTTTCACTTGTTTATTTTGTAGTAGTATTAATTGGGTTTTTTTTCCTGAAATAAAATTACTTATCACTTAAAACATTTTAGTCTTAGGAATTGGTTGATTTCCTCAGAAGTGTCCTAGTAAGTAGAAGTATCAACATTTTTGCAATGAAGGAAAATGAGGAAGGAGTCTGAAAATCTTGATACAGACCATCTTGGAAAGTCTGCAGTAGTGCTGGAACAAAAACCAGAACCCTTGAGTCTGAGGTTTCAGGTTTGGGCAAAAAGCCGTGTCTAATCAAAATCTATACAGTCATTGTGGCTTCTGGGCAATGGCTGGTTGAGTCTAAAGCTGTGTATCTCATTGCAGGGATAGCATTTCAGTCACTGCTGCATAGCAAGTAAATGTCACATCATTACATCCTTGCTGCTGTAGACACGTAGTAGAGGAAAGTAATTGAGATGCTGCTCTATCAACTTTTAGTTCAGACTTGGCACTGGGACATTAACTCATGATTGCAACTGCAGCTTGTTTTCAAAGGGGAGGTCTTTTAGTTTGGGAGCCAGAAATGAGTGGCATTTTTGTTTGTTCTGTTTACAAGTGCCAGCTTAGCAAAGCATTATGTGCTTTTTTTTTTTTTTTTGACATGTACATCGTAATGAAGGTGAGTTTAAGGGACTCCTTACCTGGAGTCAAATGCTAAGTTGGCTATAAATAGTGAGGTTTAATAGACAGTATGGGGTTTTCTTTCATTTCTGAGAAGGTGAAGTCATCTCCATTTTGAGGAGGTGCACGGATCACTGTGGGTCCACTAAAAATCAATGAGCTGTCATGAACCAGACTGTCAAGAGAGAAATATGGTGTGCAGGTCGAAGCTGGCCTGCATTTTTGTTGCAGTTTTTCAGGTGAGATCAAGTTCCACATGACTCTGCTCAGCAAGGACCGTATGGCTTTTGTAAGCATCTGAGTCCACAGGGAGGCTTTCTCCAAGTTAGCCAAGTTAACTGAAAAGAGCTTACATTTTTCTTTGGACCCGTTTGATAATAATATGGCATTACTTATCACAAATTTTTACACTTGTTGACTCTCTAGAGATGTCCGTTTATAACAGCTTGTTGAGGTATGTGGCAGAATATTTGGCCTTGTTTTCAGAAAGTGATAGCCTATGAGTTAAGACTTGTTTACATGGAATGGACATTCTGGGTTTTATATATATGGACAGAAATGGATATGCAGCGTGACTTTTATTTTAAACTTTCCAGGAAACTTCCCATGTGTCTGGAAACAGATTCCATGCTCAGTTGGGCTTCCAAGGGTTAGCAGCAATCTAACTCAAACTTTCTAAGTTCCCTTTTGTGTTTCTGTAATGGCAAACTGGCACTACAAAGTGCAGCTTATGTTGTCTGATACGGTAGCTGTTCTTCAGTTTTGTATCTTGAACTGCTTAAGAGCTTCCTCAAAAACAGCATGAATTTTAGTGCTTACATTTACTGCTGCCATAGAAAATTTGTATCCCTCATCTTGGGTCATATTACACGCTGTTTGAATTTGAGCCTGGCAGGCTGAGCTTCATGGCTCAATGAATTCTGAAAAGCTGCTCATGTACCTGTTGTAACAGATAAAACACAATAGCATCACAGGTTTTTTGTTCCTTAAATGCCAGAGATCAATGATAGCACCTAATGAAATTTGCAGTGATTTTTAATGCTTTCATGGGCCTCTGTTTCACACAACTCATTTGGTTTTGAGTTCAGACCATTATAGGGTGCCTGTGCCCCAGTGTGCTCGATGGGGTTAGGGATGTACTTTCATAGTGAATCTCCTTATCTGTGCCTAATTACTGTACTTTAGTTCCTGCTGCAGAGCATTTTTCAGGGCACACAAGTGAATTTTGTTTGGATGAAACCAAGCTGGAAGATGCCTTCTTGGAGAACACCTAACATGTCCCAGCTGCTAGTGGATGTTCAGTAGATGGCAACAAACTGCTGCTGGGCTAAAGTCTGCAAAACACGTATTGTGGATACTGGGTCCTTGTTTCACTTTACAGAGTTATTTCTCCTGGAGTATTATTTGCTAACATAGACTTGGCTGTGGAAGGTCAGATGTTGGAGTTTCTGGATCTTTCGGTGACAATGAGTTCCCTTCTCTCTTAGTGAAAGGATCAGTATATTTGCCTACACTTTTAGTTTTGTCCAAGGAACCTTTGTTCTTATGACCCTGATGCCTCTTTGCCATTTGAAAAATCTCAATAATTCTTTGATTTAATGAACGTACATCCTTATTCTTTTTTTTTCCCTTTGCTTTACAGAAAATGGACGTTCCTGTGATGCTGAGACACCTGCGGGAGCAGAGAGTGTTTATGATCCAGACCATAGCCCAATACAAATTTGTTTATCAAGTGCTCATACAATTCCTGCAAAACTCTAGACTTATTTAATCTTTTCAAACATCCCAGACCCAGCTTTGTGGATCTGACTGAACCTTACTGATGTGCAAGGAGAACTGCCTTGACAACACTGTGTGCATATATTGCACTTTTTAAAGTTGTCTCGAAAGTAAGGAATGATTGTTCTTTACTAGTCTCCCATGGATTATTTTATACAAGATATAATTTATTTTTCTTGGAATAACTTTTGAATTACTTTAATAACTCATAAATCTTATAATGACCTTCAAAGTGAACCACATTTGACATGACTGGTCTGCATTGTAACGTGCCCATAAAGGAGAGCAATCCTTTGTAAAGGTAGTTTACTAGCTTTTATTTTGCTACACAGCTTCTGAAATGAACAGTTATTTGGCAGTGGGCTTTTTCTCGCGTGAGGACGTTCTGGACGGAGGTACGTGGCTTCCGTGGTAAAAACAAGACCTGCTGGATGTCAGCTACAGCTCTGTGTGAGTGGAAGCTGAGGGTACACAGCACTGAGACCTGAACTTCTGCACGTGCAGCCGGACACATTACAGAGGGCTCAAACACAGGACATTGTGAGGACAGAGAATTTTGGGTGCTAAACTGTTCAAATTCCACAAGAATTACAGTTTTAGATTAGTCCTTGAAAAAATCAATATTGGATCTTTTAAACGAGGCCTTTGCTGCTGTGTGCAGCCCTTGAAGGGATTCATAAGAAGCAGTGTAGGATGAAGTGCAGTGACCCACAACAGGCTGAAGTCAGTGAGTGAGTTTATTCAGTAATTGTGGTGGACGGAGAGTTGAACAGCATAGAATTTTCAACCAAATGCATCTGAAAAATATCAAATCAAGCACCTTCTCATGGATTACACTGAAAGTATTACTGCCTTGAGGCTCACCTCCTGTAGAAAAGGAATCTCATTTAAATTAGGCATCTCTGGTTGCCTTAGTTTTCATGTGTGAACTATCATCTGATGGCTAGAGAAAGGATCAGGCTGGAGAGGAGCCTGGGATGTCTCTGGTCCCAGCCCTGTTCACCTTACAGCTAACTTTAAACTTGGATAGGCTTGCCCAGGGTCACATCCAGTTTCAAAATTCTCAAGGGTGAAGATTTCATAGCCTCTCAGGGCACGTGATGCAATGCAGTTACTCTGTCATGGTGAAATTACCTTTCCTGGTATCCCTTTCCCAGATACTTTTAAATATTTTAGTCCTATTGTTGCTTTTCTGTTGCATCCCCACCTCCAAACCCTGGTCAATGTACAAGATCTAAGCCTGCAAGCACTCCTAATTTCAGCACTAAAGGGACTAAAATCAGTGGGAGCTTAAGCTCAGGTTCTGTACTAGAATGTTTCTTAAATTGCTTAAAACTGCACTGTGTTGGTTTGGATCTCTACAATACAAGCCTAACAAGGTGACAAAGATTCCAGTGAAGATTTCTAGCTTCCAATAAATGGAGATGAGTTATTTTTCTGTAATACCTTGACCATGTTCTTTTTAGGGATCAGCTGAGTTTTTAGTCAACTTCAGTTTTCCTCTAATTTCTTCTGCCACTGCCAACATATCTCGTTAAATTAGCAGCAACCATTTAAAGTCTTTTCAGCAGCATCTGCATGATAATTGCACAGAGATGCTTTATATCTGGGAAAAAAGCCAAGGAATAAACCTTGAAGCAAAGTGTATTAAATTAGTTATCTCGTTATAACTTTTTGAATAATTTCCTAATGATGAATTAAGTTTGAGCTCAGAGCTGTCAAGTCCCATTGCTCCACTTGGATATGAGAAGTAGAAAATCAGGAGGGAAAAGAATCTGTTCCTATGTCCTATTATTCAGCTGCTCTTGGCTGAAATGTGTACTTCTGCTTCTACAGGGAGCACAGGAAAGTTACTGCATAAGAGAGTATGAAGAGCTGTGTTTGAAGGGAAGAAAATTAAGTAAATGTTTTTAATGCAAAGATGCATCATAGTTGTCTTAGAAAAACATTAATTAGAAAAAGGCATCAAAAATCCTTTCCAAATTAATTCAGTGCCTATTAATGAGCCAAATAAATGGCCATGTAGCAAACAGTCATTTCTAATTAATTAGTAATGTGGCTGGTACGGTAGATAGAAGTCAATGTGACTCACTTTTTCCCTTTCATTGTCAAAGAATGGTAATTTTAAACTTTTCCTTTCATCTGACTTCAATGTATTTTTCCCTGCTAGATTTTATCTTGACTAGATCTGCTAATATCATAAGTGAATTGGGCTGGTGCATGTCTTCAGAGGTTCCTTTCCACCCCAGCTTGCAACTGACCCTCAGCATGCCGATGTTTTATGGTTGAAATGTGACACAGTTCTGTAAGGGAAAAAGTGAACCTTCTGACTTTGAACCTGCTGTAGTTTTATCAGGCCAAAATTGCTTGGGCAGTATTTCCTAACCTTTAGGGAGTGACAGGAAAATGCATTTTGCATCCAATTTTGTTAGTCACAGCAGGAACGAACACATGAGACTTAAAGCAACAGTGCTGTTTAGTTTCTGTCCCGCAGACTTTTAACAGCACAGTCCTTAAGGAGAAAAGGACAGTTTGGAGTTGCTGTATGTTGTGTTGCATGTTTTTTTAACATCAAAGCATGACACTGGTTTGAAACCAGTTTCATCCATGGAGTAAAGTCTGGACTGAAAAATCTCACAAAGATGCTTCAATGAATGGAACTGCACCTAACAAGTTTACCATAAGCTGTCTTCTCCCAGGGCACCCACATTGCAGTGTGGCATGTTTAGCCTATGTTCCCTCATTCTTTCTGAGACAGAACTTGCAGTGAATGAGTAAGTCTGGCTTGGGAATCCATTGTGTCTGTTTTCCTTTTTTATGCACTCTTCACGTGTATTTAACACGCTTTGCTTTTTTTCTTTAAATTGTTACCAATGATAGTATTGAGGTGCTGGCATCAATTTTTTGGTTAAGGTCCAACATTTCATGGCTACCATTGTTCAATCAGGGATGGGAGAGATGACAGCTGAGTTTGGACACTGCTCGGTGCTGTGGGTATCCTGTTTCTGTCCTCCATCGGACACGCTGGTGGATGGTGGACATTAACTGCTGAGGTCCTACTTGTTCCAGATCCTACGAAGGCCTGTTTTGGCATCTCTTGTCTTTGACTACCTGAGAAAAGATGAAGCTTGTTCCCACAAATATTTTCCTTTATAGTTATACAGGAACCCTAAATGCTCAGCCTCATCAGAAATACCTTTTCCCTAAATGAATTTCATCTGGCAGGAGACACATCTGTGAGAACTTATTCAACCTGTTGCTAACAGTCCTTGAAATATATTGAAGGACATTTCTGTTCCACTTATGTAAATCAGCTGCCTCAGCTACAAATATTATTAAATATTTGCATGATTTCAAAAGTTGTTTTTTTCTTTTTAAATTACTTCCATGTAAACAAACAAATGCAAATGGCAAAACACAGACTTACTCATTCTCTTCCAACTTAAGTGCTTCAATAGTTATGCTCACTGTAAGCCAGGACATTATTTTTTTGATCCAACATCTGCTTTGTCTGTGTAGTCCACAAGCAACTCTGAAATAAATGCTGATGGAGATCTTGTACTTGGATATAGCAAAAATCTATAGGAAAAATTCAGCAGCTACTGATGATGCTGCATTCTCAACAGCTGACTTCCCACCTGTCTCCTGGGAGGAGATGATGACTGAATTAGCTGTTGTCAGCCTTGCTAGCAGTTTGTGATCTGCAGCTCTCATGCATCACTGAGGGAGGTCTGAGTCAAATCTTGCTGCTTGTCTTTGTGGGAAAAAAAACGCTAGGGCAGCACCTACTGCAGGAAATAAAGGCTGCATCGTATTGCAGGAGCAAATACCTGAACTGACTGTGAAAGGAGGGACTGCATGAAAACAGCATTTGACCACTCTTTTACAAAAATGAATATAAATCTGCTGATGCATACTTAAAGTCATAAGGAGTTTGGGGATGGGTTTTTATGCCAGTAAGAGAGAGGCTGCAAGTCCAGAACCCCAAAGGCAATTGTCCCCAGCTCCCTCTTAGCCTTCTAGAGAGGTTTGCTTGTAGAATCTGGTGCTATGGGAACTACAGATGCCATATGAGTCTTTAGAGAGGAGGACACTATACATGCAGCTGTTTGCACGGATTGTGATTTGAGGAAGGGAACAACTGGCTGCTTGGGCTGCGGGGCAAATAACAGAAGATGGAGGTATTAAACATAAATAAACTATTGTTAGATTGTGAAACAAAACATTGCATAGGTCAAAAACTGCAGTGTTAATATAAATATTTAAAGTAAATAGATTTTGTCAGTGTTTTTAGAGTATCTTAGATTACAGTTCCATTGGTTCCTCTGAGCTGTTTTTTGGTTGGCATTTCTCTGAAGTTTTGTTGCCTCTGCTTTATGTGTACCCTCACCGAGAGTTTCCTACATGTACACCAGGACTTTGCCTTTGAAGAGTGAACCGGAAATCGTGATAAATAGTAGCTTCCACTGGAGAATCCCAGCATTATTCAACAGCAAGGGAAGGACTAATACTGCAACTGATCCCTGAAATGAGTAGAGTGCTTAACAGTTTTACTCTTCCAAATCACCTGAGTAAGGACTCAGTGGTTGGACACTCAGCTCCAGGCATTTCAGGGGTAGTGTTCCCTGATTATGCAGGCAGCATAAAAGAGGAAGGCTTCCCACAAACTATATCCATGTCAGGTTCGAGGGCACACCCTGACTTAGACAGGGGCTAAGACACTTAAGAAGAAATATGAACATGTCTAGAAAAGGGTGCTCAGCCCCTCTAGTGCACCTGGCAGCCAGTCCTTGAGGGGCTTCCTGAGGCCAAAGTTGTGTTCCATTCACTGTATTTAGTAAATCTACTGATACATCCATCTTCCATAAATCACATTACCTTTTCTTTAGAAGCCATTTATTCCTCTGGCTTTCACAATGTCCTGTGTTAGTGAGTTCCACAGCTTAATTATAGATGTAATATATAAGAACTACTTTTTTGTGTATGTTAAATAAAATTATTTTCTTGCTTCTACTTGGTCTTTAAAAGAAAGCAGATCTTTAGTGCCAGAAACACTGTCAATAGGATGTTTATCCTGTTGCAATTGTCCCATATGGAAAACACATTTTCCTCACTAGTAAAGTACCCTTCTTTGATTATTTTACAAATGAAAAAAGTTTACACATGCAGATGACTGTAATATTCCCATATGTAATTGTGTGGAACATGTTACATGAAACAACGTTTAAGTTTTATGTCACTGGATTTTCCTGTCCTGTTTTACTTCAGTATTTTGATGCTTCCTGTTTCATTTGTTCTGTAATTCTGTTCATGACAGTTTAGCACAAAACAGTGATGTGGATCTCACCACCTCATTGTATGTACACATTTTGTAGAGAAATGAGACATCAGTTATATGCCCTCCCTGCCCCCTGCTCCCTCCTGTTAGGGCTGAATGGCAGAGCTATTCTATGCTATTGAAAGCCTTTTAAAAAAATCTATGCATGCTATTTTTTAATATTCTAATGTATTATTCATATCAGTACATAAGCTTAATGCTTGTCAGTTTTATCTTCTGTATAAAACTGATTACTTTTGACAGTATTTTTGCACTGTTTCTTTTCTTTCTCTTTTTATAATAAAAAGTTCTATTCAGCATTAATTGACTGCAATAATTTTTTACCCCTTTCACTGCCTTTGTGTAAATAGTTTCTTATATGCTTTTCCAAATATGAGAATGTCTTCAGTCACTGAGGTTTTTTGGTAAGGCTGTCCTTCATATTCACAGTAAACAATAAACCATTTTTTTCAAGGAAAACTATGCTTGTGTTCTTCTTCTGTCCCAGCTTAAGGTTTTGTATTTGCACCTACTATACTTGAGTTGGTCTCCCATGTTAAACTGATAGGCACAGCCAGAGCCACAGTGAGCTTTGAATAACCTTCTGTAAACAGTAATCCAAGTTTCACAGAGGCAAGGCTCCCACTGGTGCTCGTGCTCAGCTAATCAGATTCTGTGGTGTTGAAGCATAGTCTGGGCTCTGGATAGACTTTCTGAAGTAAAGGTGCTATTTCCCTGGACAAGGGTTTACTTGGCAAGATAAAGTTAGGATAGTCAGCTAGTGCCCTCTTCCTAGGTTTGGCTGTAGTTAAATGGTCTTGGCTTTCTGGAATTTTAAGATCTGGTGCAGTTTTATGTACTCCAGCAACAACTGCTGGCTGGAGAGCAATGAAAACCTTCAGCAAAATGAGCTGACAAACCCTTGTTCTAGCAGTTTTATTTTCAGAGCAGTGCTTACAAGAAAGAAAATACAGTAAAGTTCTCAAGGGTGATGTGTTCTCTTTCTCATCATACTTTATAAGCCGTGAAAGCAGCAAGGAATGGGCAGGTACTTTTACTGGGCACCATATTTAAATGTTGGTGCTGCAAGTGCACAGCCACGCTCTTTTTTTTTCCCCTCCATCCTTAAAAGCAATCTCCTACAACTGATCTAAATAGAGGGAAAAAAACCCAACACCCTCTTGTTTTATATATGGGTAGAGAAATCTAAGTCTCCTGGACTTTTTCCTCAGAAAATGTTCTTGCTCCTCTTTTAAAAGTAATTGCTAACATATTAATAGAATAGTTGTAATACACTGGAGGTGAAGGTATGGCTGTAAGGAAATATGAGCAACAAATTCACTTCAACTTGTAAAGGCGACTAAAAAGCCAGAAATTGCATAGTTCATGTCTTGTGCAAGCCTTTGAGCTCCGAGATAGGTGCCAGCATTCTCTGTACAAGACATGCTGAGCTCTAGGTCCTTACTGTGATGAATCCCCATCTGCAGAATAACTGGCTGAGGGAACAGTGGTGGCTTTCCTGTAAAATGCACAGAATTCATCACCCACTTCCCCTTTCTCTCAGCTAAGCCACTGCAAACAAAAATGATTCATGAAAAAAGGAAATGGATGCCAAACCACAACAGAAAAAGTACAGCTTTTGCTAATTTGTCAGATTAAACAAAACTATTTAGGCAAAAGTAGATGTCACAAAACTATTGCACCCATTTAAGTGTATAAGTGGAATCAAAAAGGGTCAAGACCACTTTATTGACTTTACACAAATAAGATCCACATTGAAATCCCTAAAGAAAAAAATGGCCACTTTTGCACATGAACTGTCAGAAGGCATAACCTTCAAGAAACCATGGATGCTTCCTTAAAAGAAAAAAAAAGGCAATCGTAGATGGGTGGAAGCTAGGAAGCTAGGCCTAAGTGTGTTTGTCATTCCAATTATAGGACAGAACTGTGTTCACTCTACCGCTTTTCAAAGCACTCCTGAAGGTTTCCATAACAAGGCTTTTTAAATAAAGGTTTGAAGGATTGCATAGATTCAAAGGCTCAGTGGTCCTCTAATTCCTTTTTGATCTCTGAAATGTATGGATGATCTTTCCCATGTGCTACTTCCATGATAGCAATTGCCTATGAAAAGAAAAAAAAAATATTCACACAATTGATTCATATATAACACCAGGCTATAAATACTCTCTTTAGAGGTTTGAAGCAGTCTGACACCTCTAGCTACTTTTTGTCCCCTTGTACTCATAAACCCAGTAGGAAATAAAATGAAATTCAAAACTAAGTAATAAAGGTTTTACATTCAGAGAATACATCTTTGATCTTAAAGGAGCCCAAAGCAACTTTCAAAATGATATTCCTGACAAAACTACTTTGAATGCAACCAGCTCCAGGACAGAAAACTGCAAGTGCAGTGGGTAATATTCTGGCAGGTGACTTAGCCAGTCCTCAGAGTGAGCTGTGTTCCTACCAATTTATCCTTCAGCTGTCACACATGCAGGCCTGCTGCAGAAGTTACATTAAGGCGTTTCAGACTTGATTCTGTAAACCCTCCACTGGTTCCAGGGGCTACTAACGCTTTAGGAAGGAAACAATTTCTTAGGCAAAAAGTGAAATCCTGTCAGGTTCAGACAGACACTGCTCGACTCCCTGCCGTTTCACCTACAGCCTGCTCCAGTCCTA